TAACAATTTCCTTGCATTTTTATAAATAACATGAAAAAAGTTATGCTACACAGAGCTTCTTGAAAGAAGAGTTCGCAGTAAACTATCGTGACTGCAGAAGCTTGCGATATAATAAACTATCATAAATGCCTGTTACGTGTATCTTTATGTAACATCTGCCTAAAATACACCTAATATACTCGTAATCTGAAAAGTTTTTTTTGGCCGTGTTGCTACAACAGCTTGGGGATCATGAATCTAAACAATAATCTATATGAATAATGAGAAACGAACACTTTTATATAACAATTTCATAAACAATCGTTTTATAGAGAGCAGAAAAGCGGCATGTAGAAGTTATGAAGAAAATATTTGTATTTTGTTGGTTTTAAAGTTCATCATACATCGTAAAAAAACCTTGCGTTTGATAATATTGAATTAATGAATAATGTTGTTATCAACTAATAAATTATTTCTATTATGATGTAATCATACAATGCAGATGATGGTCCACAATTTCACGGTCGTAAATTAATTTTCATGTACACGTCTTCTTTATGTTTGAAACCAATAAAGTTAATTAATGCCTAATTTATGCAAGAGGTGACTAGTATTCGTTCAAGGCTACTCGGCTTTGGGCAGAGATGCGTAGATTTACGAGCGCGCCCAACCAGCCGCGACAAATGTTAACCAATAGACTATGTTATATTTCCGGCAAGTGTGTAAAAGATTTGCTATAATATTATAAAACAATATAAATAAATGTCCCTTTCAATGACATTCACCTAAATTTCCTTAATTTTTTTTATCAGGCCCCCGTTCTCCTTCTAAACAAAGATATTTTTATATTATAGGTTGATATAATAGCTAGTTATTTCATATTTTGAAAAAAATAATGTAAAATATAAATCAAACATGTATAAAACATTTATTTTATTTATTCTATACCAGTTATATAAAGATAAACCCTGAAACTACTGAAGACTATATATACCATTTTGCTCATCACGCCAAAGATCCTCATCAGATCTTCACCAAATTTTATGCACCAACTCAAAGTTGGTTTCAAATAAAAGAAGAGAGTAACAACAAATTGATAGAAGAAAACAAATTTTGCCAGACTTAAAGCAGAAACGCTTCACTCGTTCAGTTATCTAAAATAACATAATATTATGCTGTATTTATTTCAGTAATAACAAGTTTTGAGCTAGACCTAGCGACGCACCCGAGCGAAGCAAGGGTGGGCCACTTGTATACGATATTTTATTACTAATAGTTGATGGATCATAATTTTTTATGTGAAATCATGTCACCTTATCAATATTACTTAATACCATTAAGATATTATTAGAATTTGACGCAACCTGTGTTTAGTAAAATGGACAGTGAGTAGGCACATAAAAAATGTGATGTTTGTATTTAGTTATATCTTTTAGAATTTTTGTTTACAAATATAAAAATAATGATATTTTATGTATAAAAATATCGATTACAGTAGCATATAATCGATTTTCATCACATAAGCCATATAGTTCCATAAATTTTCTGTTAAAATAAAAAAAAATACTAGACATATTTTAAATAACATTATACCGCTAGCTTTATTTTAGTTTTATATATTACGTTACAATGTTTGGGTTTAATTTAAAATAACCTGAAAAAGTATGTATATTCTGTAAATCATTGAATATTTGGAAATAAATCACTGTAAATATAAACAGAATAGTTGGTAATTATTCCTACGTAAAATTAAATGACTTAAAGAAAGAGTTCAAACCGATTTATTATAATTAAAGAGTTAATTTTTTTATTTAAGTAATTTGTTAAAATAATTCATGTCGTGACCAAACATAATTTTTTTTAAAAGACACAACCAAACAACTATATCTTACGTATATCAATAGAATTTAGTACAGTGGCGGAACTCCAACAAAATAAGAGATGATAATTTAATAAATTATAAGTATACCGCGATAAAAGTGACTTTCTACGAGCATATGACTGCATAAAAACTCCTAGCATATTGCTTCAACTTGGCCTTATTATTATTCAATTTTCGGAGATATTTATACCTCGGGTACATGTAAATTTCCAAAGATTAGAGGATGAAAGTCAATAGAAAAACTTATAAATAAGTAATCAGCAGGAGCATTTTCGTCTGAATCAACCGAGTGGGGTATCAAAATACAGGTTTTTAAGAGGTGATAATATATGAAATAATAAATATATACAACTTTCTGTTTAAAAGTAATTTAGGATAAGAAATTGTCAAATAAATCTAAGACTGACCAAAACTAAAAAACTGTAAATAAAAATTAATTTACAAATAAACCCGACTGCATTTGTAATAAACTAAAAGATGAAAACAATCTTTAATTTTTAATTAAGACATTTTTCAAATTATTAATCAAAATATTTATTATTTGAATAATAATATAACTTATACATTTTTCAAGAGTTAGTCTTTTTACTCAACACTTGCTTTTGAGTTTATAATTAGTATTCTTGCCGACTTCACTCAGCAGTATTGGACGCCACGCTAAAATAAATTAAAGCACTTAAAAGAATCGTCAATTTTTAAATTGACGATTCTTTTAAGTGCTAGTTAAAAGTCTATTCTAACAAAGTATATTTTAAATTTGAGTATGCTTCAATAAAATAAAAAATGAAATTAAAAGTTTAATTAAATTTAACTTCATCTAAATTTTAAACTAGCTCTACCTAGTAGGTAGAGCTAGTTTAAAGAATAACTAGCTTTTACTCGCGAATCCACTCGTTTACTTTACGTTGGAATTTTTGTAGTAGAAACTACAAATTATAACGTAATGTCAAATAATACGTTTCTGAATGTTTGTCTAATGTTGTATTTCAAATTATCGTAATAAAATGTAGACTGAAAAAGGTATATGCTAAAAATAATATTCTTATCTCATCTTCTAGCAAAACTAATAAATTTCCTTAAAGACTCAATATTTTTAGGTACCTATCTTTGATGTCGTCGAGATTAAGTAGAAACAGTTAGACTCGTCTAATAATAGACCTCCATCCATGTCGACTGTAACAGAACACTTATGGTATGTATGTGTTTTTGGTTGAATAATTTTCATCTTGACCCACATTGCTATTAAAGGCTTAGGTAAAATTTGTCAGCCGGTGTTTTGATATTTTGAAAAGAATTATGACATTTATGACCATTCTATTCTGTATACGGTGTGTGCAGCGACAAGGTGTTAACAAGTTGCCAGCACCCACTAATTGTATTGTTCTTGTTGCATTGTTTGCTGCAACTAGAGACTTTTAGAGCGTAATATACTCTTATTTTTATAAATGCAGCATTTAATATTCCATATTAGTATTTCTATTTATGTATTTTTAAGAACAAAATGTGGGATTGTCTATTATGCCAGCGGACGTTTGCTTACAATGTGAATATTAGAATTTGTCATACAAAAGTTTTGCTTTGTCTGGTAAACCTTTTGGCAGAATGGCCTTTACGCTTTGATTAGCACGTAGGAAATTCATATTATGTATCTTGATATGTCAATGCATGCTTTCTATTTTTAGTCATAAAGAGATATAACGATGGATATAGTATGTATGTATGTATATTCTTAGTATTATTTACGTTATAATTGTAATTATTTTACTGTTAATGCATTTTTATGCTCGGAAATTCAAATTTTAAACATGATAAATATTTTTTTAAAAGAATTTAGGTTTTAGATTTTTTAATTTTTTATCTTATATGTGAAACTCCTAAACTTATAAAATGCTACATTTTCTAGATGTCAATTTGGTTGCGTTGTGTATATTGTAGATGTTATCATAAAAATAGTTAAATAAATTCAATTTGTCGCTATGTGATAAATGTTTCTCGGCTGCTAAGTAATTTCACAACGAAAGTAGGCGTTGTAGATAGTGATAAACACTTCACAAAGACACTAGAAACATTAATAATTCTGGTTCTTGTAAACTTTGCACAATTAAGATTATCTTTATGGAAAATGTTTATTTAATTAATGTTTCGAATAACGCTACTGTCCAAGCCTCTTAGTCACTTGATTTGTGAAATAGATTTACTTGGAACCTAAAAAATTTAAAAAGCCATATATTTTTACATAAAGTAAGACATCAAATAAATATTTCATTTTATAATTTAGGATTGCTCAAACACTGTAAATATTGTGTTAAATTTAGCAACGTTGGTATCAGTATCGCTATTGAATTACGACAAAGTTTATAAACTTTTTTTAAGTCGTTAAGAATCAAAAGTACGAAATCTGTAAATATTTAAGAATGAAAATTCAGAAGTATATTTTCAAATCATTCTTTTTTGGCATTGTGTTGACCTTTCATATGACTAAATATCCTCTAAATATTCTCAATTTATATTTTTTTTTTCTGAAACATTGTCAAGATCATTTAATGTGGGTTTTTGATTCAAAGGTTCTGATTTTATCTTTAGGTTCATAGGATTAAGCTTTATAAATATATGTATGTGTATAAACTTTATTTGACTTTAAAAAATATAACTATTTTAACTATGTACATATGTAAGTATATATATACCAAATAACGTTAATCATTTATTAATAATTTATTCATAATACATCTCAACAGATGTCGAGTCCTGGCAGCTGCTCATAGCTGGAAGTGCTGGATATGATGCGGTTACATTCATTTTTAATATTATCTGTGATCATAGGCATGGAGTTATCTCGAGGTCATCACGTAAGTTTGACCTTGTTTGTCTGTCCTACTTTATTTTATTTACTATTGTTGATTTTCAATATCACTTTTATACATTATAGATTTTAGATTCGTTGTTGATTTAGCGAATAGCACTGCATTTTTACCAAAAATGAATAGCTTTGGCCGAATCGATATACGTGTTGCCTGTTATATGTGATTCAATGCAACTATTGTATGGTAAATTGAATGCGTTGACCTGGTTATCCAAACAACGTATTATTAAACGTGTCCTATTAGATATCACTACAATCACACCGTTCAACTATTGAATGCCGTTATCATTGCAGATAGAAATTGATTCTGAGCAGAAAGCTATTGCAAATTTAGACCGTTCAAGTAAAACAGGAATAGATGCCCAACAAAATGGTGAGTTTCATTTTATTTCATAAGTCTTAGTAGAAGAATGTTGGTAATGAAATATCCATTACCTTATTCTTTTTACTACGTTGTTTTCTCACAGAAGGAATCTGGCTCGGAAGCTGTAATATCTTTTTAAGTGCTGTTTCAATTTAAGGTTTAAAAAAATCTTCGTATTCTGAATGGGCACTGTGGAGTACATGCCTTGGCGGACGCAAAACTCGGCGTCGACATTGCTTGCATCGTTATATTTGCGGCGATTCTCTGCGGATAGAAGTTGCAAGGTATTTTTGTAATTTGTCAGATTTTTTTTAAATATTGTCTAGTTTTAGGTACTTCAAGTGTTAATCACTGTTTTACGACGGCACATATTTTTTGTTTATTTTAAAAAACTACTCAGAGTAATTTCACCAATCTTTTAATAATTTGGTATATCATAGAATAGTGTTTATAAAATTAAGTAATGATAGATATAAAAAAAAATTAAAGGTCGTGCACTTTGTTCATTATCTTTACATTAATTTGAAATGAGGATAATAATTGCTAATTGCCTAAATTATATTTGGAACGTGTTTTGTTTATAAATATAGAAATTGGTTGATTTATGGTGGCTATGTTTACAGATGCGGACAACCTCGTCAAGTGAGCAAGCGGAATCACACACGTGGCCATGATGTAGAGCGAGTGAAAAATGTTTACAAACATATTATATTAAATGTATGTAAATATAAATAAGATGGTAATATTATTAAGTTTTATTATTAATATTATGTATAATCATAATAATCAAAAGAAGCAGAGATAACCCAAGCATGCAAGTTTATCGGTGTTTTTTAGAATAACTTTTTTATACACTTCTAAAAATCCAATCCTGCTCTGTAATCATACAGGTTACGAAAAAAAATGATTTAAATAAAACGTCAAAATTAAAATCTTTGGGTTAAAAACTTATACTCAAAACCAATCAAATCACCAAATTATCAAATCCTAACTAACATTTCTGTTGAGAATGGGAGACGTTGACTATTAATGCATATATTTTCACCTATTTATCCATCTTCTATTAATTATTATTTGGAATTATTATATCCATTAATAGCAATGTGATATCAAAATAGATATAATTACAATAATATTTAAGCTCATTACAAAAAGATTTATTTTCCGGCCACTAAAATTGTAAAGAACTGAACGAGAAGTTTTCTCAAACAATAACAATAGTCTACAGCGGACGGTACACTTGAATCCTTTTTTGAATAATAAAAGAGCTTTACTTATTATATTATCAAGTTGAATGTTATTCTTAATTATTATATGGTTAGAAGTTTTTACCGACAGCTTCTAAAGTATAATATGGACTAAATAATTTCCCTGGGATAGCACATATATACATATGTATGTATATTTCATTAGTAAAATAAACTATGTGCTTACTTTAAAATCAAAGTACCTGAGCGACTGAGTTTCACGAGGTGTTATTGGCCAAAAGTATAATTATCTTTTTTTTTAACTAAAAACTTAATAAATACAAAAAAAAAAACAAAAACTTTGTATCCGACCGAGGTTCGAACCTGTGATTGATTGTCAATCTTGCGCTTTGAATAATGCGAAAGAAAACCGCATGAAAACTCGAAAACACGCGTCTTTCCAGAATAATATATTCTATATATGGAATAATATAATCTAGATTGATTTTGTCGACCCGCAAAACCCCCACATACCAAATTTTATCGAAATCGTTAGAGCCGCTTCTGAGATCGGTATATATATAAATGATTGAATGAATGCATGAATGAATGAACGAACGAACGAATGAATGAATAAATAAATATACAAGAATTGCTCGTTTAGAGGTATTAGATATACGCATGTGTCTCTTGATAGCTATGGTTCTGAATAAAAAACTATTTTTTTAAGGTTCTGTACCTCAAAAGGAAAAAAGGAACCCTTATATCTGTCTGTCTGTAAACACCCTTTTTGTCAGGAACGCGTAGAGGTATCAATGAGCTATGAAATTTATATCAAATACTCAGGTGTGCAATCCCTTGGAGTTGTGAAAAAATCAAACTTCTAAGTGTTGACTTAGAAGTTTGATTTTTGCGTTGGCAATCAAAAGATTTTGACACTCGCAAGGGAATCAAAACCTATAGGGTACATCCCGTTAACCTAACTTTTGTAATTTGGCAAGAAGCAATGTCTTCTTATAGCAAAAGTAAAAGAAAAAATCGAAAAATCTTAAATTTGCAGGTTAATCATAAAAAAATACGATTATAATATTAGTACATATAATGTTTCATGCTACAGAACTCTCGGTGTGCGAATCAAACTCGCACTTGACCAATTTTTTACTACTAGCAGCTTAGTTTTCAGCTATATAGAATTTTAGTGCCTACTCTACCGTCTACGTATATAATCTCTATAAGTGCGGTTCATTCTGTGCATTGATTGATATTTTAATCATTTTTTTACATATATACCTACATAAATATAGTTTTCCGTGATAATATAATTCCTTAGTCCTTCATTGATTGTTTTTGTTAACGCGAATATGCGAATGGTGTTTTATATATTTGTCTCGTATATACTTTAGTGTCGTACAAATTTACATTTTTTATATTCATAGATAAAATGAATACTTGTTTGTCACAAAAGAAAGGTGTTTCATTGTAATTCATTTAAAATAAATATTTAATAATATAGTGAATAATATAATACCTAAATATTAAGTTCAATAAGATAAAAATGGATTTATTAACTTTATTTAACTTCCTTTTTCTTTGTTCTGGCGATTTATAGACTGAGTTGCGCCAACTTGACGCAAAAGATGTTCAAAAGAAATTTCGAGGGTTCTCTTCTTGGAGCAATTGGACTTCTTGTTCTCGAAAGTGTACAACTGTCAGGAAAAGGTATTTTATTTAACTATTTAGTAAATATATCTATATCCCTATATAGTATGTGGGATATATTGAGGACCTACGTGTTATCACACTCTTCGTTATTCATAAGGGTGCACTATAAATAGTAAAAAATACTTACGTGTACATTGTTACACAATAATATTATCTTTTCAAGATAATCAATATGATTTAATTTTGTTATAATCATATATTTAAATAGTAGTTTGCTTTTCTTTTAGGCATTGTCTCCAAACGTCTGTGTGTGGTCGGAAGGTAATTAGGCAGTCCGCTTATTGTTATTTGGAGGGCAGTTACTGTCAACTTTGGATTCGCAACAGAATGCAGCGGCGAAAGGACCCAGGTGAAATTGCACATAGGTATCTAGCTAACAACTTTTACCTATTAACCTATAGAGAATCTTAGTCTAATATTGCACTAATAAAATAAATTAATTAAATTAGAACCATTTGCAAAGCTCTGAAGATGAATGCGTGATTATATGTATGTAGAACGCCTAATTAACAGCTTGCATAGATAAAATTATATCTTGGAAGAATTTAATATAAAGTTCTGCCAAGGCTTGTATAGTACGTAGGTACAATTTAACAAAATGCTATCCATACTAATATTATAAATGTGAAAGTGTGTTTGTTTGTTTGTCCTTCTTTCACGTCGAAACAGAGTGACGGGTTGGTGTAATTTTTTGTGTGGAGATAGTTGGAGGGTTAGAGAGTGACATAGGCTTTCTATTGCGGGAGATTATCTCATTACGTTATAATACAACTCAAAAAATTATTTATGATCAGAATTACTAGAAACTAGAAATTAATGCTCACTCCTCATTAACACTCCATACGGTTAAATACCATAGGTAGTAAAATAGTCGATAAAAGTTTGTATGAAACCTATCTTTTTAGAGTTTCTTTTGTAGTTTTAGCGCGAGCGAAGCCGCGGGTTCTGTTAGTAAAGATATAAATATATTGCAAATATCATTTAGACTTACTTATAAGCAATTTTGTTTTTTATTTTATTTATATCTATGTATTATTTAGTACCTACCTACTAGCTACTCGTATGTTGCCTCTTTTTGTCATACAATTAATATTTTTATAATCATGATCCGTACATAATAAAATTCGAGTTTGATTAGCCCAAAGAACATTGCGTATCACCAAAGAGTATAGTTTTACTTATGTAACTTGTTATATATTACCCTTACTTCTTATTTTAGTATTTTGAATAACATTTTCTAGCGGTTCATATAATACCTACCTTTAGATAATACTTTCTTAGATTTACGCGAATGTTTGACATTTTTAAATAAAACTATCTTTTCGGATTACTATAATTCGGATTATTATACATTCAAGACATGTAACACCTCAGTCTCTCCCGTGACCATGGATGCTGTAAAGCATTCGAAACGTCGGGAATCAAAAATCAAAATAAATCCGCGATATAATCCGAAAAGATAGTTTTATTTAAAAACCTACCTTTAGAATTTCAATTTTATCGAACCAACAGTCTTCGAATAAATTGGTTGTGTAAATAGACAGACAGACTGGACATGGATTCCGTATTTGTCCTGACTTCGGAACCCTAAAAACCGATTTCTGTAATTTAAAAAATATATTAATAAATGTTTTAATTTATTCGTTACTGGTTTTTATAAATAAATGAAAACATATGTACATTTGTAAATGTTTTTAATTGATTATAAGAATTTAATTTCTGTTTTATACTATTAGTTATCCGAGTATCATAAATAACTAGGTACAAAATGTGAATAATATTTTTAATTTCATCGCCGCGCCGTTCTGATTTTCGAAGAGCAAATAAAATTCCATTCGCGAAATTACATTTGGCAACCGAAAGCATTGTGATATTGGCTTAACGGGCGGCGCCAAAATTAAGCTGTTAATTGATTACGTTTCATGCATCTATTTAAAATAAATTTATTTTTAGTTTATGGTATATTATATGGTAAAGGCAGTGGTAGCCCTGTGGAAAACCGAATGAAATTAATTCAAATCCCGGGTCTCGAACCTCTGAAATTTTTATGTGCGAATCATTTCCAACATGATTACCACTTGTCTTACCGGTGAAGGAAAATATCGTGACTGTATGTCTGAGAGAACTGGCGTGGATTATGGCCTGATCCCCCTCGTACTGAAGGGAGGCCCGTGCCCATCAGTGGGACGTTAAAAAGGGCTGAATACATATGGTACATTTAAAAGGTTCCGGGACACATTGTAAGAAGTTACTAAAATATGCATGAATAAACTTCGAAAGCACCTTATGCGACCTCATGAAGAAAGCTTTCAAAATAACTGAGAACTGGTGCTTTAAGCATGAACTCTTCTTTAATCTCATGAAAATTGAACTGATCATGTTTACTAACCGAAGAGCATCTGGACCATATAAACTCCCGAAACTCTTCAACACTGAACTAAACCTTAAAGATGTAGTCAAGTACTTGGGCGTAGTTCTAGATAGCAAACAACAAAAAAATACTTATAAAGTCAAGTCAAAGTCAATGGATTACCGAATTGATTTTTTATACTTAATTCATATACACGTAAAAAACTGTAGAAAAATTCTTTATAAAGACTTTACTTGACGACAAAACCTTAGGTATACATATAAAGAAAACTAATAAATGTAGTAGATCCAGAGTCGGATACTACTACTTAAACTTTACAATATTAAGAAGTGCCTCCAATCCTTAATTTTCATTTTAAAATCTTACTCTATTTGTAAATCTGAATAATAAATTATTAACTGTACAATTGGATTACGAGAAAACGATAAAGTTTTAAAGCAAATCCAAGTAACCTTTAGGAAAATTAATTACTTTTATTTATGGAATGTTTCTAGAGTACACGGTTGCTGAAACAATGCCTCAGCCGGTGCCAGCCATTCATTCGGAAGATTCTCGGGCACTGTCCAATATTATACCGACTTGTGGTAGACTGGGGCGATACCGCTCTGCCAATGCCCGAATTCGAGCCAAAATGAGGGATATGGTTCGCATTATAGGTGGCAGGCCAGCGCCACCGGGCAAGTGGATATGGCAAGTGGCTGTATTAAATCGGTATAAGGTACACCTTATTATTTTTATTATAATTATACGACAGTATATTTTTTCATGTATCGTAAAACCTAAAAGTTTAAGTCATATAACTAGAATAATAAGATATCTTTTATTTTTCGAAAGAATAAGTATAATGCAATGTAATATAACTTTTGTATATAACCAGCGACTCACTCTGCTAGTTTTACATGTATCCTCGGATACGAGCATTCACATATAATGATATATTCCGATCTCGTTTACATAAAAACGTAATGAGAATAACATATGGATATATTTCACGAAATTAAAAGCCATAATATTTTACATTGGCATTTAGTTTTATTGTGTCGTGAAATGAAAATGTGTATATAAATTCGGTTTCACTGTTTTTATTTCGGTTTTAATACTTTAATATAACGTAAATATATTACGTCGATGTTAAGCTAGAGTGCATAAAAGTTTGAATAAGCAAAAATATTGTTACTTTAGGAAGCTTTCTGCGGCGGTACACTGATAGCACTGCGGTGGGTGGTCACAGCTGCCCATTGTGTAAGGAAAAGATTGTACGTACGTCTCGGAGAGCACGACTTACTCGTGCGGAGCCACGGAGAGGTTGAGATGAAGGTGACTGAAGCTGTGATCCATCCGCAATATGACCCGGATACTGTAGTCAACGATGTCGCTCTGCTAAGGTAATTATTACATTATAGAATTGTTTTGGTAATTCTTTTTTGAATTTTATAGACTACTGCTTACATTTAAATGTTGTTTGTATCACATCCGTTATGAATAAACTAAAATCGTGATAAGTAAGTAGCACTTAGATCTAAAACCATACAATGAATAATGCATAGTCACACTCTTTACGATTCTAACAGTGCGTGACGTTGCTTAAGTTACATATAACAAACGACCTAATGGACAAAATCAAACTGTTTCACTGTTTGTTTAACGCATACTTTAATTCAAAACTATCATAACTCTTTCAGTGACGCTGTGTTTTATGAAAAATTATAAATTATAATTTCGTCTAATGTTGTCATTTTACAATATTCAAAATGAAAAATAAATAATAACCATATGTCATTGCCAAGGTTCGGAAACCGATTAAGCCATTAATACCTAAGAGCTTAATATTTCGGTTTCGTTCCTAATGAACCGGTATAATAAGGGTTACGTTCAAAATAAACTCTCTCTAAGGTTAGGGTTATTTAACCGCTATTAACCCGCCATTGGTGACGTCAATTTAACTTCCAGTCTTGGCGACTTCCGTCCTACGCTCCGAGATTTTCAACTGACGATTTTTCCAATGATTTTACATACAATTGGTTTACTTTTAAAAAAGTGTATTATTTGATTTAAAAAACGTGTATGTGTACTTATGTACGCACGTAAGAAGTTATACTTCTAAGGCGTAACAGAAAGAATAAATACAGTAAATAGCTAGAGATTTCATCCCGTATGTCACAACTCTCTGTTTGTAAAACGAATGCAGCTAACTTCATTATTTCGCATTCATCTAACTTCATCATGTCGCTTTTTGGCTGTTGGTGTGCGCGCCATCATTTTTATATAGGTCGTAAAATCTGCTCTGTTCACAAAGACCATTTATTTCGGTTATGAGACGAAATGATTATGTGTTTCGTTCTCAATGAAACCTTTATGCGAAACCGTTATTAAACTATATTAACCGGTATTATATAAACAGGTTCCGAGCCTTGGTCACCGCATCCCTCTACTGTGATAAAATTAGCATTTAGCATAATTATTTGAATATCATTATTTTAGCTTTGTTAGTTTGCGAATTAATTAAAATTCTAAATCAGAAAATAAATAAAAAAGAAAAAAACCAACACAAACAAATCTATTTATTTAGGCCATTTCAATGAGCCTATACACGATATCTCTGCAGTATTTTAGTAAAGAGATGAGTATCTTGCAGATTCCAGGTGACGCTGCAGCATCAGGCTTAGGTTCATATCATTGCAATTTCATTAAAGTAAAGGGATACCAAATTTCAAATCGATTAGACCTGTGGAAGTTGTTCATATCCATTTACCGTCTAGGAAAGAGCTGATGGTCTGCAAACGGCTGAATGGATTTTCTTGATTTATAGCTAGCTAAAACTTTAAAGCTAAGCACACTTTCAGCTTCAACTTTCAAAGAAAAAAAACTACATTAAAATCGGTTCATCCGTTTGTGCGCTACGATGCCACAGACTAGTATACACAAATATATACGAGGCTAGGATACACAGACATATAGATGCACACATTAAACTTATAACTTCCTAATAAGTCCCCTTTTTGCGTCGGAGGTTAATTAACCCTAAAATTTTTAGGAGGACCTAAATAAACAAATCGCGCTGAGTTTGTGTTTTGTTCAGGCTAGTCTCGAAGACAATTGTATGGATTGTCATACGGTTTCACTAATTGGAAGAAGGATTCTTTAAGCAGGTTTTAGGCTAAAATTCATAAGCATATAAACATAGTAAAAAAATTACATAAAAGCAAAGGGTATCAAAGGATGCTAGTTACTAGTGGGTCACCAGATTAATATAAAATCAGATTCGATCCTCTGTAGCATTCAATGGTCGGTCTAATAAGACCAAAGTATGGCGCAATTGAACCTTGTTTACTTTAATAAAGTAATCAAGGCTCACTTGCGCCATATCCATACTAATATTATAAATGTGAAAGTGTGTTTGTTTGTCTTTCTTTCACGTCGAAGCGGAGTGACGGATTGGCGTGATTTTTTGTGTGGAGATAGTTGAAAGGCTGGAGAGTGACATAGGCTACTTTATCGTGGGATATTATCTAACTCCCATGGAAAAACATGTTATAATACAAGTCAAAAAAATATGTATGATAAGAATTATATGAAACTTGGTATTAATGCTCTTCAATACAATTAAATAAATACGTGTTTCAGCATTTTCACCCTATCTTTTTCAAACCTATCTTTTTAGAATTTTAATATAACTATTATTATTTCAACCTATAACTTAATGGATATCTTCTTCTCCCTGCCCATTTCCCAATCACTTGGGGTCCGCGCAGTACATCTTCTGTACTGCTGATAGGATTTGGCAAAAGTTTTACGACCGGCCGCCTGCCTGACGTCAACCCTCCTTGGGAATATATAACTTAATGGATATATCCTTTTACAATAACCTACATTAAAAAACTCATTACGGCAATCTAAGGTTTAATTATTATTTTCAATTAGATTATATAATACTCAAGGGGATGCAACGTGTACTGATGAAGACCATGCAATACGAATATTTAGGAAGTAAAATGTTTAATTTACCTTTAGTTCGGACTTTTGATTGATATCCTCAATCTAAGTAATTTCATTGCCTTTATTGAATCAATTTCTGTTTTATGAAAGTATCTATTTATATTATATAGCTCACAGTAATCGTACTTTTAGGGACCATCTTGTGAAAGGAAGATACTAAATAAAGGTATTAATTTTGTTTTATATCGACATATTTTGGGCTCTTTTACGGTACCTAGTAATTTGTATTAAGTATAGATATTAACTTTTAAATTATTTTTTATAAACTAACTTATTAAATTATAATGTTATTCTACAACTTTTATTAAATTTTACATCTTTATTAAAATTATCCTTACTATCAGATAATGAAATATTGTTTTATTGGTTTATGTTTTACTAATGTTTGCCCTTGGCTCCGTACGCGTAGTTACTTTATGTATTATATATATATATTATATATATATATATATATATATATATATATATATATATATATATATATATTAAAAAATATATGTGTCACTCTGATGTTTATGCTATATTATTGTAAACTTAAATCAAAATCCGTTCAATAGTTTTTGCGTGAAAGAGTAAGAAATATCCATTCATCCTCCTTACAAACTTTTGCGTTTATAATAATGGTAAGACAGGATTGCAAAAAAATATTAAATAATTATGTTGCATAGCGATAATTCGTGGGTTATAGAGTAATGTATTGTTGTGTCTGACTGTTTTTATTATTGATTTGATAATGATATCAAATTTCACTGAAACATTCCTTTACATACAATAAAAATATTAATAACTGTATTTCATTATTTTTAAGCAAGCTTGCTTTAGCCGAAAATCGAACCAGCAACAAAAATTGCAAAAAAGTACAACGTCACCATTTTATCGAACTAATTGATGAAGTAGTGCGAATAAAATCTCTTAAACAAATATTAAATCTTACAATTACAGAAAACTAAAAAATCTTACAATTAAATTTATTAAATAATTAATTTGTTAAAGGTACTTTTCTTCCATGTCCCATTCATTGTGTTCATTTCATTATAAATATTATTTTTTATTAATTTATAAATATTATTTATCATGCATATAAAAATATTTTTTTTGTATCTTTCATAATTAGCCTTTTTTGTTTTTCCTCCCCAAAATTAACAACCACAATAATTAAGAGTTATTTATTACATAATGCGTCCATCATTAAGCCACCCAACGAGCGAGATTCGCAGAAATTGGACCGTAATAAAAACGCGATTGATCCTCCATCCGTTTCTATTTTCCTTTTTACAGGATGTACATAACAAAAAAAACATAAAAATAATACGTTTTTTGCTTTAGAACTTAGGGTTTTGTAAAAATATATAATTTAAAGTAAAAAAGTATATAAACAAATGTAATAATTCTATGGAGTTATGTCTGAAAAATCAAATTATACTGAACCACCCAATGCAATTTAATTGTAGGAATTTAAAATAATGTTTTCATAATACATGATAGAAAAAAGCTTTTTAAAAGTAAAAAAGATTATTTCTGTTAGTAAATAATTCTATTGGATTAAGCCTGATCAATCAAACACCGGCGTCCGAATCAAGTAGAGTTATAAAATTGCGCCTTCAATTTAAATATACAAGTAAAACAAATATAATTAATGGATTTATTTATATTAGCCTACAAGTTACGAAACTATGCTTTAAATTTTATATTAATGTAAAACCTTTCAACCCTCATCAAACGTTCACACATGTTCAATATATTCAGCTATTCAATAGAAATCATCTCTCAATTTATATTATGAAAAAGGTATCGGTCGGTTATTGAACAAATATTTTATCTTTATTATTAGTATATGTAGTATTTTTACTGAAAATTATTTAAAGGATGTCTTAGACATTTTTTAGTTTTTTATTAGAGATTCTGTGAAAAATGCAAAACCGTATGTTTGTAAAAATCAGGCGCTAGAATCAAATTTATACTCATCGACTTTACTCACGATCGCATTTATCCATTCAGTAGGATTTACTTGAAAATTAAAAATATGATTTGTTATTCCATCTTGAATTTTTGTTTAAACTAAACATATTATGTAGGTATGTTTAATGTTTATCCACTCCAGAATGTGATACACTAGTTGTAAGGTCTTTACAAATATTTAAAAATGTTAACAAAATTCGAATGTTGTGGCGAAATGGAAAAAGTCTCTGAATTACAGCTTAGACCAACAACAAGTGATAAGATTCAATACTCAATACACGTTTTTGCGATTTGGGTTACTATTAATATTTTTTATGAGTACATGTTTGAAGGAGTGTAGATAAATATATAACTGAAAATGCGCAAATAAGCAAACAATCAAAATAAAACTGTGAGAAAGCCGAAGAGATGTTTATATTTAAATTATTTTTAAATTCATTGTATGTTTATAGACTACCATCGCCGGCACGACCAGATTTAGGTCACGGTATAGCCTGTCTTCCGAAACCTCATCAGATTCTGCCTCCGCATTCAACTTGTACAATATTGGGATGGGGGAAAAAGCGCGCTACAGATGTACATGGCACAAGAATTCTTCATGAAGCTCAGGTACAAAGTCATTCAGTAGAAAAACATATTTTTGGCACTGATAAAACCATCTGTTCATATTTTTACAATGTACGTATGTAGATATTTTATTAGTTTTGTTATTACTTTCACGATTCCGTCATCTTCTTCACATATGATCTTAGATATTTTACTTTTAGGTACCTAAACACCTCATTAATATAAAATACACTCTTATGTTTATTAGTTGTGTTTTTTTTCTGTGCAATGTATGCTATAATGAAATAACTTAAATTTTAGTGTCATAGTCCGATTTCTTAATTTTTTATATCTGACTGTAGCCAAGCCCAAGGAAGGGTTATGTGTTTGAATTGTATGTATGAATGTATATCCGATCCTATATTTCATCGTAACTAGTAAAATATTGTTAATAATAAAAATAATTTACAAAAACCCGACAGTGTTAAATACGAACTAAATAGATAAAAAAGTTGACGAAGGAACATAGTATTAAGTAGTCGGAGACATATATTTAGCAAGACTCGACTCGTCAACTTGTTTCGGTTTCTTTTAGTTCTTATTTATATGGAGACATTATAGCACGTGTCAAAATATACCTTATAAAGGTGTCACAATATATCTATTAACCGGATATGTATTATTCACATTCTGATCGATTCTTACGTAAATGATCTGTATTGTAAGAATACCTGTATTTGACGTTCAATTATATAGGGATAGAGCGGAAACGACTAGAAGATAAACCGGGCTTGTTGAGCATATAATTAAATAAAATGCTAACTAAACCTTCTATGAAATAAGTAATTTTAAAAAAATAAGTATAAAATACATATATTGCTGATTTACCCCCGCTTCGCTCGGATAAGTTTCTAGATGCCTAACAATAGCCTAGGTTTAACTCCCAATTTCATCCAAATCCGTCCAGCCATTTCAGCGTAAAGGACTTACAAACTTTCGACACCCGATAATTTTTATATATTTTTCATGTTATGATAGGTGTCTACAATACAACAGGGTGTATGTCGACGTTCGTATTGGCAGTATGCTATCACGGACAATATGGTATGTGCGGGTCGCGGGCACAAAGACTCCTGTGCCGGGGACTCGGGAGGACCGCTACTATGTAGAGACCGTACAATGCGATATGTTCTACAGGTAAATAAAGCTCACAAGTAAGCTATTGGGCGTAGCTTCACATAACTAAATATTATTTTATATCCTGTCTTTTTAGGGTTTCGTACCTATATATATATATATATATATATATATATATATATATATATATATATATATATATATATATAATGCATAGCATATAAGATCACTCTCTTGTCACCACCGATTTCTGAGAAAATCACACTCGTTCCTGAGAAAATCGGTGGTGACACACAGACAGACGGACAGACAAACAAGACAGTGATTTTATAAGGGTTTTACTTTACTTATAAGGCTTTTTTTACCTTTTGAGGTACGGAACCCTAAAAAGTGAGCTATTTCGGTACAATTTTCTATATTACACGAAATCGGATATCCAAAGTTGAAATATTTATATTCAATGTTAAGTAATGACTGACTATTGAATAAATGTGGCCGCTCACATTAATTTTATTGCTACAAACGTGTATAGCAAACAATATTAAACAATGTGTGTATAGTAAACAATATTAAAATAAACATGTGAAATTATGTTTAAAATTACATATTGATGTAATAAAATGTTTCTAATGCAATGCAATTTTTTTTAAATATAGATTGCAAAGTATTGCCAAATGACAATACATTGTAGCATAACTGATGTAGTCTAGTTTTTTCCGTTTAAAAAAAAATCAATAATTATTGTTTATTACGCACTTTTAATATATTAAAGTAATATTATACATTTAAATATTAGTACATTGTAAAGGCTTAGCTAAGTTTGTAAGTTTGTATTTATTTATATAAGGGGTAATCTCTGAAACTACTGGTCCGATTCTGATTTTTTTTAACTAATATATACATATTATAATAAAATAGTAACAAAGCGAAATTTGTACATATAATATTTTTTATATAACAATATCCAAAACAATAGTTATTGCAATTTTTGTCTGTTTGTCTGTTGTATCACTTTGCTTATTTATAGATATATAATATTAATATAGATAAAAACAATCACTTATAATTTCATTTCGTCACATTAACTTTTAACCAACTCTTATTATTTTATTTTTCGTGCCTTTAATGTAATAAATTTACAAAATATTTACATTTACTAATACGACCCTTTTCCCCAAATATCTTAAGATTATGGCCACTTTACGCTGAAAGCCTGTAATACGAATTTCATTTTATACTAAATCTATACTACATTCTAGGGTATAACAAGTTTTGGCGATGGCTGTGGCAAACGCGGCAAATATGGAATTTATACAAGGACAGCCGGCTACGTCACCTGGATGCGGGAGATTATGACCAACAAATACTTCGACGACTGACACCTTTGGTTAAATAATAGATTGTGTTGTACTCTATCTTACACTTGTCATAAGAAAGTGATTTAAAGCAACATCTAGTGAGTTTAGTTACTGCTACCCCGATGCAGTCTATTCGGATTTCCTTCAACAATATTAAACTAATTAATGCCTGCTTATTTATTAAGAGCCACATTAATTTATCTTCTGCCGCAACTTGAGGAGTATTAATGGTGTAAAAGCTTAGTAATTACGCAGTTTTTTTTTGTAAAAAATGTTGCTTATTTCGTTGTAAATGTAAATATTTTACTTTTTATTTTAGTATTCTTTAGACATATATAGTGTTACATCTATTGATATATTATATCAAAGGCTATATATAAAGTGTCGTATGTCTATTCATTAAAATTAAAGTCAATTCAACTTAATTTATTTTCAAACGATTTAAAGGGAGTATAATTCACGTAATCTATACTTATTATAAAAATAAGTCCCCCGGCCGCGTCTTTCTGTCCTCCTGTCTGTCTGTACGCGATAAACTCGAAAACTACTGAACGGATTTTTATACGGTTTTCAACAATAGAAAGAGTAATTCTTGAGGAAGGTTTAGGTATATAATTTATTATGCTTTTATGTAAATTAGCTGAAATACGGCGACAAATGTTGAAGAGGTCGCAAAAAATCTCGCCAAATGGGAACTTTCCACGCGAACGCCGCGTAAACTAGCAAAGATACAGTTAAGTAATGTACTAGAGAATTCAAAATCTATAAAAATGCTACAAAAAAGTCCGCGATAGCATATCTCTATCTCTTACGGTTGACTTACAATAACCACTTTTATGTTAACATTTTTAATTAAAAACATTACGTTATTTTCAAAGTTATTTTCTTTAGTTCGGTATTAATCCTTATCCAAATGAATATTTTAGTTAGCTTAGTCATTTAATGCAGATTAAAATTGCTCTTTACACTAAATCAATCAGATGAATAGTTTTTGAGATATCGTTGTTAGAAGTAATTAGTAGCGAAACATTTTTAATGCTTGGCGAGCATTGAGATGCCTACGGCGAGTCCATCCCCTCTGCCCCGCATCGCTCGACCGCCTGCTCAAGCTATATAAACCGGGCGATGTAGCGCGCGATCCTAGGATACTTTTTACCGCGGGAAAATATCTTATTTCTGAGGAAAAATACAAAAACTGCAATGTAAGAGTATACTAATATGTAACACCTAAGAATTTAGTTTTTGGTCATCTGAACGCGGGCGGAGCCGCGGGCAATGCTAGTTTCAATATAAAATAAGCAGTGCCATTTAAATATCGCAAAATTATGATATACATATGTATGTTAATATAAAGTATATAATGTTAAGAGGATAATCTCAAATTTTATGTAATATTTACAACGCGTATCTAAATTTCCGCTTGAAATGTACCCGTAGCTCTAGAATGCTTCAGTAGGTTTAAAGAGCAAATCATGTAATACTGGCGTAATAGGTACAGACTCTTACGCTTCATAAACTGGAACCGGATTGCATGAATCCCAGGGCTCAAATATAAACATATTTTGACAAAAATGGATGTACTGATATTGCCATTCTCGCTTATCAAATAACAAAAGTTATTAGTAAAATTATATTATTAGAAGTCTTTGTAGAGAAGAGTAATTTTTATGTAAGTTACTTTACTATTTTCGGACAACAATATTCCTGAAATTTGTGGATTTCCTCAAACTCACTCTTAGGTGAGGAAATAGTGAATCTATCTATAACTATATATCTAAATGGTTGCACCATTTCGTGACCTAGCATTTTGCAGCAAAAGATTTGTCCATAGATTTTCGTCCTAAATGGAAAAATCTGAATCTACGTGAGCAAAATTTTGACTTTGATAGATTCTATTAAGTGTAATTTATCAAGTTACCTAATGTACATAACATAACAAACAAAATTAGAATTTTAATATAAAATATAAGTTCCTACACTGTAGTTTTACATTTTAACCTCGATTTTCAGTCCTATGGTACAATTTTCTGAGTAAATCGGTTTTCTTTACTTTAAAGGAGAAAAAATCATAAGAATGTTTTAAGATTTTTATAATAATGAAACTATTTCAATATAAATAAGAAATATTTGTAATAAACAACATGTTCGAATTCGAAAATTCATGTATTGATATAAAATGATAAACAAATAAAATGAATACTTTTAACAAAATGTTTCTTTAAAAATCAAATGTATAGTGTTTCTACTATAGTGATTAGATGTAATTTCGCACATCTATATTTCTGGATCAAAAGAGTCTGGTTCGTCTTTTTCGCGAGCTACGTCGTTTAACCATGGGATTAGGTGCCAAATACCCGTATATTGCGCAGACTGCTCGCCCCCGCGACGACGCTCCTCCTAGAAATATGCATTACATATATAAAAAGTAAAACTGTAAGTGTATGTATACCTTTATAATAAATATTTATGGTAAAATAAAGAAACTATTTTTTTTCTGTATTTATTGTTTTTATTACAATTACTAGCGACTCACCCTCGCTTTGCTCGGGTTCGTCCCTAGGTACCTTTTAACGGTTAGTATGGAATAGATAGACTATATATTATATATGTATAATGTATATATATAGGTATGGTGAGTTGTTGTGTGTTGTATTCTAATGCGTTTTCCCGTGGGAATGAGACAATCTCCCGCGGTAAAGATTCTATGTCATTCTCCAGCCCTAAAACTATATTCACATAAAAAAAATCACGTCAATAAATCACTTTGTTTTGACGTGAAAGAAGGACAAACAAATAAACAAAGGCAAAGTCAAACTATATCGTAGAAAGAGAAAGTGTCAAATCTACCAATGCCTTCAATTACTTTATATTAATTTTAAGGTTGGGTTCATTATAATATACATATTTATACTATAATAGTAGTAAGAAAAATGTGACTTTAACGTTTTTCCGCGAAATTTTTCCATTTTATCTCTACATAAGGACCTTCCTCGGGCTTCAACGAACATTTGAAAACAATAATTAGCCGAATTGGTTCTAATAAGCTGTTCTCGAGTTTTGCGCTTAGCAACACTGTAGCCATTCATTTTTATTTATAAAAGAAGATCACAATGAGGCAGTCATTTCTGTAACACAGGTTTTATAACTATGACCAAATACTGCACTTAATATTTGAAATCTCTTGTAATCTTATAATGGCTTATTATTTATTTATTATATTTAAAATCATAGAGGCCTATATAGGAGATATTTTTTTTATTTTAGGTTACTACGTTATAGACATATATACGATGTACATGTACATACCTACGAAGGTATGTGGTATCTTAAAGAGTATAATGTTAAATTAGCGATATTATCTTGTATATTATATTAAATTTATTTCTTGTATCTCGAAAACTGCTCTGACGATTTAGATCAAAATGTTGTATTTATAAGGTTTTGCTTCTTAAATTTACTTATATAGGTTTCTTTTCTAAAAAAACGTAATTTTTATAGCTTTTCTGAAAGAACGCCGAGCTAAGCTCAGTCGCCCGGGTACTTCACTTAAATATAACTCTATCATTTCCCGGGTCGACGCTTATAACCATTCTTAGAAGTTTCTTAGATATCATTTGCTTTAGGTACTTGTTTCTTACACGGTTCTTACTAAGGCAATCAAATAGAAAATTATAAACTCGTGTAACTTAAATTATTATTTTTAATAGTGATGTAGGTATTTAGAATAGAAAGTATTATGTTGTTAAATATTTGTTTTAAATATGTAATTTGACCATTTTATATAGCTAAAGCTTTCTAGGAGGTTCGAAAAATGGTGTACCCTTATATTTAGAACTGCTCTTTTAGAACATTACTTAGCCGTTATATATTTGTACTGCTTGCACCTTGTATTGGAAAATTCGGACCCGCGAAAACTATGGTAATAGTTTCTAGTAAAATAGTTATGTGAGTAATAATAAATATTTTATAGATTTTTGTTAAGAGCTTCGAAAGTTTCCTTACGGAAATTTTATAGTAAAAAACATTAAAAAAAAAGCTTTTATTTAAATGATTTTTTCTAATAGTATTAGTATTCAGCCGTTTTTAATATATGGAATATTGGGTACAATTAATACATATATGAAATTTTATATTATTTTAAACAAAAAAATGTGAGATTTGTTTTTATGCTCGCCACGATTTCACTCCCCAATCACTAGTATGACTAATTTTGTTGGACCTGTTAAACCTGGTTAAGGAGCTAGAGAAGAGAGAAGAGAGCTTTATATATTTTTGTAATTATCATTTGTTTGGCATATCTTGTTTATTTTTTGTTTTATCTTTTCACTAAGAAACCAAACGATACGTGCTTGATATAGGTATATTTGAAATCTACTGATGGATGGCTAGGCAGAATGTTAAAGCTCATTTTCCTTTTTACGTGTCAAATTATGTGTAAATAATGTGTAATTAGACTAATTAGTAATGAAATAAGATTTTCGTTGCAGACGTGTAAAGTTACACAATAGAATTCCAATTTCACGTTCGTTGATTCAGCTAGATCTGTTGAATGTTTTTGGTCGGGCGTGAACCTGAAGTTGGCTTTAGAAATTGCCTTAAGATTTTTCTCTCAAATTTTTTTTACAAGAATACCTACCAGTAATAATAATGTTGAATCTGAAATGACAAGGTCGTAGTGACAGTGAGCATATTATAATGAAAAGTTTTTAATTATGATTTTTTTAATTATAGAAAGATTTGAGTTTTATATTCTTAGTATACTTGTAGTATAGTTTTAGTAGTAACATAATAAAGTATTTCGTTTGGAATTTTGTCTACATCTTTTATGAATACTGAAATTATTTGAAGCAATATCAATAAGAATCTTATGGAATATATACAATTGAAACAAAAGTGTACCTTTCACTAAATCACATATAATGTATGTATACTTGTATTCAGCCCTTTTTAACGTCCCACTGCTGGGCATGGGGCTACCTAAATACGAAGGAAGGCCCGTGGTTGTATACTTACTTATATATAAATATATGAAAGTAATATTTAAAAGAAAAAAGCAATGAGAAAATAAAATTACCTGTGAATACAACGCTATTAGTTTTCCACCCATTAAAAGCAAGCTACCGTGAACTGGGTCGTCCTCCTCAGCAACGTATGGCGGTAATGATAGACAATATATATTTTTGACGTTTGCTTCATTAAGCTGCTTGGCTTTGCTAAAATGGAGATATAAGATTAGTCTTGAAAATCTGCGTTTATCATTAATCATGTGTATATTACATTACTCGCACCTGTAGCCGATATTGCCAGGACATGAATCTGAGTAGATTAGTCCTTTGTACAACATAAGGGGATGTGTGGAGAGCTCAGTAATACCATACGTTGTGTCGTATCTGCGAAAATTGTATTTATTATATAGTTCATTTTGGTGTGGCAAAGTAAACACTAACTCATGTCTTTTATCAAGATGGTGAGAGAATTCAAAACGTTAAAAATTACAAAACGGCTTATACTAGTACCTCATCCTCATTTTATAATATTAAATGCAAAATATGAAGTAAAATTAACATAATTCAATAGTTAAGTTTTAGGTGAACTTTCGTGAATATAAAGTTTCATTTCTTTGTAAAAGTATTGAGGTTTGAACTATTTTTGGCACTTAAATGAAAAAGTGTTCGAAGAGCTAGAACTTTGAAACTTCGAACAACGGTCACAACTGTAAAATAAATTTTTCTCCTGATCAATTTTAAATAAATACCTAGTTTCCTGATCCCTATGCAAGTTGCTCTGAAAATCTGTTATTTTTCTATCATATACTTTACGATTCAAAACGAATAAAATAGAGCAGCTTCAACTTTAAGGTGAACTATTCCTGCATTAATTCACAATTGGGTACGCTTATTCGACATGAATACATTTTCAAATTTATAAATCTTAAGAAGTTTAAATATCAGTGAACCGCAAAAATGCTGTTTTTAATATTCATGCGTATTTTCTAAATCATACATAAAGTTTTTTTAGATTTTACCTATAGATATTTCATCTGGTTTTGATAAACATACATATGTACATTACATATATACAATTGAACGCAGGTATATACAAATCATTTGACAGATTACGATGAAACTATTGTGAGTTAAATGTATACACGCTTACGACAGAGAAGGTACTATTGTGCGTGGTATAATTTAAGATTTATGCTGTTAAAATATTGGTTATATTATGTGTCTTTATGACTCAGTGAAGCTTATCTATGAACATAAAATATATGGACGCAATAAAAACACCTTTTAATTAACATATTTTAATATTATAGGTAATTACATAAAACATATACCTATCTAGTCCCCACCCAACTGCAGTTACTGTGGTACCGCCTAGGTCAGCCGCAAATTGATGTGACATTAGAGATATCGGTTTCCATCCATTACACGTATTCAGCATTGAATTTACCACTTGTATTATCCCTTAAAAGTAGACAGAGACAGTTTTCATTCGTGAATTGTGCAATATATATTCTATTGAAAACCTAATCTACTGAAATAAAAAGTATCCCATCCCCATATCTCAGGACATGATTTATCAATGTTCAAATTTCTATCGGCTCAACGTTTTATGAATGGTTAAGTAAAAACATTTAAACATCCTCATATGCTTTCATTTAATTAATTATTATTGCCATTTATAATATAACTTATGAATGAGTAGGATCAATAATTACCAATATTATAAAGGTGTCTTCGAGTATAATTTTTAGGATGGAATTGTGGATGTATAACACTTTGTAATACGTAAGCTATCCTCCCAGGAGACCTCCAGTTGTTACTGCAGTAGGCAACAAAAGCTGACCTAGTGTCTTCTCTAAAATTCTTATGGTAACGATATAAGCAGGTTGCAGCGCCTACTAGCCAGTGTGAGCTGATAGAAGCGCAATCGCAACGCACCTAGATGAAAATAATGAAACGAGATTTTTAAATGTCATTTATATTAAGGTATGCCCTACATTTTTTTTAAACCTTTATCGGATGTTGTACGAAACAGTTATTTGCAATTTTAGTAAGATTTATAAGAATAGAGCGAAGACATGAAAATCTCATTTCGTTTTTCACCCTACGAAACGTCAAAGGTTGACTGACGGTGGCGCATTTGAAATTTTTTACGAGGTTCACAAAGCACTTTAGGGGTGTGTTGCAAAGACTTGGTATTACGTAAATATGTTCATTGAGGACATAGTCTATATTTTTCATTACATTTATTAGGAGAAGGTTCTCAATTCGTCGGAATCTTTGCTTTTTTTTATGTATGTTCACCGATTATAATTAGAAATAGTACCATCAATATATATATATATACCAGTAGACGTGTATGTTTGATGTACATACATGTAGATGTAAAAGTGTTACTGGCTTAAATAGCGTTCAGTGAAGCAATTAATTCACTATAGAACAAGTTAATATTTTATTTATTTTTATAATAGTGCCTAACTTAAATAAGTTTTCCCAAGCAATACCGTGAATTTATCTACCTACTCATTAGCGATTTGCAATAAATATATTTACAATTTTTTATTGTTGTAGTTTCAATAAACAGAAGATATATTAAAACAATATTATGTGTCATTAATATGTTCCAGTTTTTAAAAGCTTTGTTTACTAACTAAAACTAACAACACTAAAAACAACAACTAAAATGCTAAAACACTATGTACCTATTAGCTAAAGGGTAGAAAAAGTTAAGTCAAATAGAACAAGAACTGTAGTTATAGGGTCGCTACTTAAAGAGTGCTGCCAAGTATCTTTCTTTTATTTCGGCATGAATAAAGAAAAATAAATGAAATAAGCTTTTTAAAATTCCAGTATCAATTAATTATTGAAGTATTTTCTTTTAGTTCATTTAATTTTTTTTTATTTGGTAACACAATACATACCTGCTCTGGTTCATACACATATACAGCGATGAATGGATAATCGAACCAGGAGGCTGGCTGACTTATATATGAAGTTTTTGGTAAAACCGTTTGCTTCGCTCTTTTTGTATTTCCTTTTCCGTACTTTCTACTTTTCTTGTTACGATCATCTGAATCAAAAACTTTACGTACTTTTATATTCGAATCAGTTCTAATATATTGACTGTTATTGAGTTCGCAACAATTGTTACTTTTATCCAAATCAATCTGTTCTTCATGAACATAATCTTTGTTTATCATTCGCTTATTCTGTTGTAGTATTAACGGTGGTGTAAAAGTCTCGCTGTCATATATTTCAAAAAATTTTATACGATCATATGGTGTTGTGTGCTGCTTTGTAGCTATTTTCCATAGTGTCTTATTTAATATAATGGGGGGTATAATTTCTATGTTGCTTAATGGCATATTAGGACTACTTTTATCCGGTACGGTTACAATCGGCAGAGCTTTATGGGCCAAACCAATTTTATAAACTGCATGGAAGAAATATATTATAATATAATATCCATTTTATAAAGTAAATAGACATTTAAAATAAACAAACGAGTTTTATCATACCTGAATGCTTAATAGCTTTCGTTGAAGAGTTTCTAGGTTTAAACGATGAAGGAAAGGAGTTTTGTGGTGAAGTTGGCCTGCAAGTTGGATCATTTATTCGAAATAAAAAGAAAGGTTGACGTAAAAATGAAATTTTATAATCAACGGATTGGTTTCTTTTTGATTTAATCGTTTCTTTGTTATTCTTCCTGTCGACTGAATCATCCAAATAATAAAATTCTATATAGCTTGGAGTTGACGGCCTAATATTTAGTGTTGTATGTGTCGTAAGAAGTAACTTATTACTTTGATTTTTCGAAAACGAGTTAATATTTTTGCGACGACTGGTTTTATTATACAATTCTTTATTTGTAGACGACTTTAAAATGCTATTTGTATTTAGTTTGTCATCTGATTCAATGAAAATTTTGGTTTTCCGCCAAAGCATATTTATAACTTCATATTGCTTGCTGCTTGCTCTTTCCATTTGCCATTTCCTTGAGGTTTTTAGAGGCGTCCTATTTGAAAATTTAGTTGATTGATATTGAGATAAAGTTGAGTTTACTCCCTCAATATCTATTATATTTTGATTTAAAAAGGCAAGTATTAAAATGACTTTTAAAATTTCAGCTTTTCCCATAATTTCATGAATAAGTAATGGAAATAATACATAAACATTATTTGATTATTGTAATTGTGACGTTTGACATTTACGAAAGATATAGACCATAATTTTAATCAGCATCAGTTCCGGAATATGAATATATTTAATGGTTTATAACGTTGGAAACTTCGAATGTATCCCACCTACTTTTTCTTGTCTATTTACCTAATACTGTGTATTCTTTTATGTATGTACACATAACCCTTTTCTGTCTTTTGTGGTTCCCTTCGGAACCAAAAATCTAAATAAATTCGCGAAAAAATCCGAAAAGATAGTTTTGTTTTAAAATGTCAAATATTCGCGTAAATGTAAGAAAGTATTAAATTCGAAATTAATTAGGAACTTCTTTGTATATCACTGGTGGAGGTTCTGTCTGATTCCGGGTTCTTCTAAAATATCCATGTAAGAAGCAGTCCTCTCTTAAGTCTATGCCTGCTACTTTTAACGACTAGCTCTAAGAATAGACATATGTAATCTTTTTAATTTAAAATGATTTGAAAATGGAATTTAAAAAAAATTAATAAATTATATTAAAAGATAGACCTATTTCGACATAGATAATTTATTTTATAATTATGTCAAATTTGATGTACTCACTATTAACATTTCTTTAAAGTTTTAGAAAAAGCTAAATTTCTTGTTATTTTATGATTTGGAAAGCCAAATGTAAGTGTTACTAAATGCATATGTTTTATAACTTACATATTGTTTGTTCGCGGGTCTGTCCGCGTGGTATGTCATTTTGAGGAAGATCGATCTTGCTTAAAAATAGGCTTTAAAATAAAAAAATATAAAAAAAAATATTATTCTCCTTTAAATATATGTTATTTAAATGATATTTAAAATTATAAAAGTATCTTATTTACTAAATCGTTATTCAATTATTACTAGACTTGCAGCGAATATTCGACTATTATTCGGTATTCGGCCTATTCGGCTACTCTTATCCTATTCGACCGAATACTGAATACCTAGATACTATTCGCGAATACCGAATACTTGAATAATATGTTGTTGTAATTAGATAATAGTTCGGGAATATGCGCGTGATTTAAAGGTGTTTTTTAATAATCTTTATTGCTTTTGAATTAAACCTATAATAATTATATATTTTTTATGTAATTTCTTTTTGATTAAGAAAATAGTTATTAAAAAGTTCAAAACAGGCGGGAAATTCATATTAGTTAAAACGCCACGCCATTAGTTAGACCGAACATGACATCAGAGTATATCATAACAGAGCGATTAGCGATTTTGTCGCTTACAAATTGAGTCGTCATTTCTGTGTATATTATACTGTGACGTCACGCCAAGCTCGCGAAATGGCGAGCGTTTAGAGTATCCGTAACGGAATGATTTAAAAAAAAATAGCCAAATTTTAGTTTTTTTGGAGTTGGATATTTTTTTTACAATTATACGAGTATAAAGATGTAAGCTGTTGTATAAAACACTAAAAATAATAAAAAAAACTATCAAATACATGTCATGTCTATGCACTTCCATTATCATAATTGAAATTTAGAAGTGAAAGATTATGATGCAAAAATACTATTTTTTCTGCATTTTCAGGCATTAGTTTACTCCTAGACAATCCCAGATTCAGGGAAAAGACGCTCTAAATAAATACTATTTCCTGGCGCCAAACAAGAAACAAACACGTTTTGCCTAATATTCGGCAATTCGGCCAGAAACCCCACCGAATATTCGGTATTCGGCGTATGGTCGAATATACTATTCGTTGCAAGTCTAATTAATTATTTATAATTAATAAATAAGTTGTTTATTAAATGATAAACTTAAGTATATACATATATTTCTATTTAATATATTATGGATATTGTTATATACCTACATACGAGTGTATGTATTTAGAAGATAAAGGTTTTTAGTGTTTAATTTTTAAACTTTTTTTAATTAGAGTTTTATTTTTGTGAGAAAGTGTATGTAGTGTCGCTCATACATGTTTAATTTATGTTAATGTTTTTGTTTTAAAACAGTACTTTATGTTCTCTAGAGGGCGCCATATTAATTTTAGTTTGACGCATAGCCTATAATAACCAGCCGACGATCAAGACATTTCTCACAATACCTTTAGAAGATATTCGGGAACAAATGAACAAACATATTATTACAAATATCATACATATATAAATACATACAAACAGCTTGCTGAAGTTATAACCCTCCGTAGTCGGGTAAAAAGGTATAAATAATTACATTTGAGTTGGAAGAACACAAATATTTATTTTAGTTAATTTATGTTTTAAAATCAGCAGCATCAATAACATCTATATTCATTTATAACAGAAAATTGGTAATTGATTAGGCTATTTCTATAGTAGATAGCGCAGTCGTGTTTGTATTTTATTTTCGTCGCATTCATATATTATGGTCATTACGTTTAGATTGTATTTGATTTAGACTTCAAACATTGCTTACATTAAATTATGTAAACACAGCAAGGTGTTTTTGATACCTTTTTGATGTGGAATAAATTAATATTTTTGTAATTTTAGTCCGATGTAATCATAAACGTAATACGCGTTATGGGAATATTTAAATGTTGAGTCAAATTATATGCTAGGCACGTTTGACTAAATGAGTTTAAAATTTGGTTAAAACTCGCGTAATTATTAATAAAAAATGGTCTAGTGGCTTCACAACACACGGAATGTATTTTTAGAGTTCCGTACCTTAAAAGGAAAACAGGAACTCTTATAGGATTACTTTGTAGTCCGTCCGACTGTCTTTATGTCTGTCAAGACCCTTTTTCTCAGTAGCGCGTGAAGTATGAAGTTGAAATGAATATGAAATACTCAGTACTTTCTTAGATTTACGCGAATATTTGACATATTAAATAAAACTATCTTTTCGGATTATTTCGCGGATTTATTTTGATTTTTGGTTCCCGACGTTTCGAATGCTTTACAGCAATCATGATCACCATTATTAGCATTTTAACACATTATGCATAAATAGGTAACGCAGATATATTGAAAAATATAAATATTTATTTATTCTATGTAATATGTATTCTTTTTAAGTTTACAAAATGAACTCGGTACCTATTGCATTAAATAAAGCAGCAATGCGCAAATATGAAGATCTTGAAGTCCCTTGCGAATTAATACTTGGAAGCTACGTATGGGTCGATGGTTCTGGCATAAATTTACGTTCCAAGGATAGAACATTCGATTTTGTACCCAAGACACACAAAGGTACATTGTTCTTATATTATAGTACCTTTTGATCGCATCTAATTTATTGCATAGTTTATTAAAGTACATAAAACTGGTGGCTCCGAAAGGTCGCAGTGCGATGCTAGACAACCTATATATAACCTTCCTTCATAAATAGGCTAAGAAATGCATAATCGTATTGGTTGATTGTTCGAACAAACGACCAATCAACTTCTGATTTCAATGATTCAAATATTTAAATTGCCTGTTTTTTGTACCATTACTGTAACTATATATATAATAAAACTGTTAAGGTCGAATGTTTGTATATAGAGAAAAAAAATGCTAAAAACCGACTCAGGAGGATGTAAGAAGAGAAAAAGAACAAATCACACTTTTTTCAATTTTTTTGTTTCTCTGTCTGTTTGTCTATTTGTATGGGCTAATCTCTGAAACTCTTAGACCGATTTAAATGAAATTTTGCATGGTGGTACCTTATAACCCCAGTCAACATTTTAGATACTTTTCGTCCCGGAAATTTAAAGAGTTCGAGTAGGATAGTTAAAAAACTATAGTAACTTGTACAGCTTAGTACACAAGAACTTATCCATCTAATTTAGTAAAATTTGGCATGCTGATACCTTATTTTGCCGGTCAAATAACAGGGCTTTTATCCCTGAAAAATAAACGGTTCCCGTGGGATAGATCTGTTTGTGCTTTCTGTAGGTGCTTTGTATCCCTACCCTGTCCCTGGAAGCCAGAACAAGTATTACAGAAAACATCTAATTTTATTTAAATCTGAATTACGAAATATCAATCTTTAATGTACGAGTATTATAGTCAAATATAATAATTAATAGAACCCCAATTAAGCGTCATATTAAGCGATTTCTCTTAGTAATTAAAATAGCATATTTCACGTTTACTTATGTTTATATTAATTTAACAGATTTGCCAATTTGGTATTTTGATGGCAGTAATACGGCACAAGCCACTCCTGACAACTCCGACACTTTCATCTTCCCGCAAGTGATATATCACGATCCGTTTCGGCGAGGAAACCACATATTGGTTTTGGCTGACACCTACCAATACAATTATCAACCAACTGGTTAGACATCTTACCTCTATTACGGTTCATAAGAGTGTTTCCCTTCAGATATTAGTTTGGTTTAACTATCGTGATAGAATGAAATTAAAATAACTTTATTTAATTAAACTTAACTCATTATTAAATCTTACTTCTTGTTAAATGTGAAAGTTTAGATGTTTAGTTTGGAATAGCACAAAGGTTTCTTTTTATCTCGAAAAATTGACCATTCCCATGGGGTAGATTTGTTTTTATTTTCAGGGTGAATCGCTAGGGGTTCGATTCGGTCTGTATAAATATTATAAATGTGAAAGTTTGTGAGTATGTATGTATGTTTGTTTGTTATTCTTTCACGCTAGAATGACTGAACGGATCTGGATGAAATTTGGCACAGAGATAGATTACAGTCTGAAATAGCACATAGCTATATACGATTCCCAAGGGATAGATTTGTTTTTGTATTTCTAGAGGCGAAACCGAGCGAAGATAAACCGCTAGTATGGAATAAGTAGAAATTACTATTGAAACTTTAAGCATTTAAATTAATAAAAGCCTTGAAACTAACTTATCTGATATAATTGCTGCATTGTTATTTTTAGCTCATGAAAGTATCAATAACATCAGTTAATTACATTTTCCGTTGCTGAAGCGGAGCGTACTGGTAACGAATGAGGAAATATTGTGTTAGTGCCACCTACGCGATATAGAGAGTCGTTAAAATTAGCAGTTACTATAAATCCTATTATAAAATAATAACGTTTTTTTTCTTATAAAAATGTATATATCGAACTGCCTTTTTATTTATTAGCTACGAATCATCGAAAGAATTGCACATTAGTGTGTGAGAAGGGTGAAGTAGAGGAGCCTTGGTTTGGTTTCAACCAGGAGTTCTTTTTGATGACTACGGATGGAAGGCCCCTAGGATGGCCTCCGGGCGGTTTTCCCGCACCTCCAGGTCCTTACTATTGCGCAATCGGCGCGAATAAAATAGTTGATAGAGACCTCATGGAAGCGTTCTATAGGTAACTAATTAAATTGTTTAATTTTAATAATTTCTAAGATTTACGCGAATATTTGATTTTAAATAAAACTATCTTTTTGGATTATTTCGCGGATTTTGTTTTGATTTTTGGTTCCCGGCGTTACAAATGCTTTACAGCAATCATGGTCACGGGAGAGACTAAGGTTATAGACAACAGCGTCATTCAATGATTGGTGTTTAGTATATTTATTGTAAACTGTATTGAGCGTGGTGCGTTTCCTGATCTAATGAAACACAGCAAAATTATTCCTATTTTTAAATCAGGTAGTACCTTAGACCCTAATTTACACGAACCGATTAAAAATATACACGAATTTCCCAAGAAGTGTGTCATACGCTTGTACAACAGGATCCCAGAAAATGTTCAAAAGGCTTCTATAGCCAAATTCAAAAAAATTGTTAAAGAACGTTTGTGTGCTAAAGGATATTGTACAATAAATGATTTTATAGAAGATGACACACCTTGGGAATGAAATGATCGCCTCCAGGTTACTTCAACTTGATAGAAATATTGTAAATTATAATTTTAATTTAAAAAAAGATTATACTTTAAGAAAAGATATCGGTCCCGCTGAGTTTCTTTCGCCAGTTCTTCTCAGGTCTGAGGCTTCTTCTTTCCGAACTGGTAGTAGACTCATGACGTTCAGTAAAAAATTGTAATAATTGAATGTTGAATAAAATATTTTTATTTGATTTGATATATTAACAGCTTTAACTTCGCTCTTTCATTATTTGAGGCAATGTTTTTAATAATGATATTTTTTTCTAAATAATTACTTCGTTTTTTGAATCATAAATATTTTAGAAAGGATGAATGTGATCAATATTAGATACGCATAAAATTACGTAATTCGATTTTGCCACTTTGCCATCTCTTTGATCGCTTGATATACTCGTAATTTATGTATACATTTCGTTTCCTTTATCAACAGTAGGCGCGTAGTGTGAAATTATGAAAGTCATATGGAGTCGCTATTAGAATGATTGTATCAAGCAGATGACGTAATTTTTTTACGATTTGTCGCTCTTGATTATATAATTAATTTATTGAGTGATATATAATTAATATATTATCAAAGATAAACTCAGCATTAATTTTAGACGTACTATAAATATACACAACTATGTTTATATGAACGTTTATAAATCCTACTGAGTGTAATAAAATTAATTTAATTTACGTAACTATTAATTTAATAACGTAAAATATTTCTTTTATTTAAATGTGACTTTGTAACTATAAAATAGAATTATTACTATATCATGATAGGATATATTTTTTTCCAATTCATCATGTTCTTTTTTGTTTTTCCTTTGAATATCTTAAACAATAGTAATTCCCAAATTCAGTTAAATTGTTTAAACTGTTTTCACATCATTGCTTTGTTAAAATCTTATTTATGTAGTCTCGTATCGTATAGTAATATGAATGGGACGACTTAAGCGGGTGTACTGCTTTCTCACAGAATAAAGACACAAAGTAGCATTAACTTACTCCTTTGTTTTCTTCCCTCAGTCCCTTCCTTTCATCGTAATTATCCCTCATATTTGGTGGCGACGGCTAGTACAGCTCCTAATATTGTAAGCGTGCATAGTGTAGAATTATACTCCACGCAGACTACAGACTTTTTGTTGCCTGATAGTTTGCTTCGGTTCTAAGTCTGGAGATTGCGCACACTGTAAAGATTTAATTCGAAAACGTAGTGCATATTGTCGCGTAGTGGAAGTTGTATAGCGTCATTATAATTAAAATAATAATTAAAAATAGTACATCTGGCATGCTTCATACATCCTAAGACAGTTGTCAAAACATGACAATTAAGGGACAAGAACGGTTAATTGTAAATTGCCGTATTGGACTAAGATCCCAACTGCAAGATTGCTACGTTCATTGCGTATTTAATCGAAATCAATTTTTTATATACAATAATAAAATGGACAATATGTTTTGACCTGGGTTCCTATTAAAATGTGCCCGCTAGTATGTTTAACTAACTAAATAATAGTTGACTTTTTGGAATAAAAACGATGCATTTGTTATTACAATGAATTATACTCCACTTCACAGAACTATACGTAGAAATCTTGAAAAATGAAAGCTGCCGTTGCGATTTGTTGTATGTTTATGCTTTCATAGCGTAGCGTTTCATAGAAGAGCGTAGTTGTCATTGGATCGTAACCGCTTGAACTTGGCATTTTTTTCCCATTTTTACATTCGTGATATTGGCTAAGTAAATGGAGCCCAAATGGCACCTTTAGGAACCACTGAACAAAAGAATTGAATTGAACTTGGCAAAATACTATAATGCCTGTATTTACTACCCCAGTAGCACGTGTCGACAAAAATACTATTTGTTCCGTTTTTATTATCTAATTATTAATTTACTTACTTTCTAACTACTTACGACTTATTATCGAAAATTAATATAAATGGGCAACCTTGTGACAAACACTCACGAGCTCACCAGTTCATCTGGAACGTACCATACATACCTACATGTATACTGTATACTGTATAGTCTACAATCAATTTTTTATATAGTTTTAATCGTAATAATTATAATTATTATTCAAATTCAAAAAAGAAAAAATGTACTTAAATGTTACATCCGCTGACAGTTTCTGAACGGCAATTTGGTCGTATTGTGCGGTGACCACGTGCACGACGCGACGGCCCAAACTACACTTTTAATCTTTCTGGTACACAACAACCTAATAAAATAAAAGCTTCGTTTATTATGAATAACTCGTAGCAAAGAAAATATTTGTCCGAAACATGGTGAAATAATTAAATATGGCAGAAACTTTTCTTTTAAAATGATTATTTTTAATGTCAGTAAGAAAGTCTCCTGGAAGCCACTAAACAAAAGAATTGAATTTAAGAAAGTCAGCAAAGTCAATTTTCATTAGTGTTTGTTGATGGTATCATAGTTAAGCATGAAATATTAGAAAAGTTCTATTTTAATATAACATGATTTATACATCCAATTCAAGTTATTTACCTTCTTTCGTTAAGAGTATAATAAACATACTACGACGTAATGTCTTATGTGTGAATTTTATTACACATTTCAAATATATATACAAAATATTATAAGGTATACAGGAAAGCGCAAAATTAAAAGCAAAGCAACTCAAAGCATACACGATAATTTACAAAAACAGCTTAAGCTTTGAGTTATCGAGGGTCAATTTGTCCGCGGCTGAGTGTGCGTTGATTTTGTTCTCGTCGTTGAAGGTTCTATCATTTTTTTCTTTTCTTTAAAAATCTTAAATGTTTACAGCCAAATACAAATCTCTCGTCCCGCAACCTTTAAGGATTTATATTTGCATCTTTATTAATAATATATTATTATAGAAAAATATACAAACAAAAATATTTTGCCACTTTCGTCTGATCCATACTAAGTATTTATAAACAGTAACATTTAATTTTAATCGATATTATTTATTTTTGTTCTCATAATGTATATATTATGTACATGAGATATTTTCTCGCAGCAAAAGTACACTATATGTTGACCCGGATAATCAACTATCATCATACTAAATTTCATCAAAATCTATCCAATGATTTTCTCGTGATGCGTTCCCAGAAAATAGATAGAAAGACAAAAATCCTAAAAAAATATAGATTCGGTCTTTGTATCGATAATAATGACTATTTCAATAAGATTTCCAAAAAATATTTAATGTACAGTTTCGGCTCAGTAACAATTTTATTATATGTCTACATTGGGTACTTATATTTATAGGTATACATATTAGTATTTAGTGTTTCTATAGCTTGAAATTATTAAATATACTAATGTTGCTGTGAGAAGATCGCGTTAGCGTGTCCTATTGATGTTGAAGAGAAACTGCTCGATTTCCAACGGTTCTGTTAATTAATTAGTTCAAAAGACACGATTGTATACACAACCTTTGATAGTAATAGAGTAATTGTGCGAAAATATTTCACAACAAACCAATCCTATTTTGGGTTATTAATTCCTATAAATCCTATAATAAGCACCACCCATCTCCACGCCCGTACGTAAAGGTATTCATAAAAAAATTTATGTTCATAGGTGTTGTCTTTATGCGGGCGTACGAATCAACGGTATAAACCCAGGGACCACACCTTCCCAATGGAATTTTCAAGTAGGTTCATTACTAAATCCTATATTACATTAGAGACTTTGTGATAGCAGCTATTTGTAAAACTTTTAATTCAGTATTGTTGAAGAAAATTAATGGAAGAGAAAAACAAAAACTACCAATTTTTAGGATAATTATAGCAGATAAGGAGGAATCATTTCTTCATAATTTGTTTTTAAATGTTTTATCTTACTTAAACCCGTAACCTCCACTAGTTAATCAAGAATTTAGTAATATTTTCTTAAATGCTCTTCTTTTTCAATATTTTTATACAACTGCATACAACGAACGAACGTATGCAAAACCAGTGTGGTGCAATTGAATTTATTGTCCTTTATACCACGTACTAGAGACTTTTTATTTGGGCACGTAGGTAATTTAATACCGTACTTTAGTTGGAATAAAATGAAAACACTATAAAGGCTATTCACAGATATTTTACATCCTATAAGCCCACATAAATTGAGATGAAATATGAGTTTCTGTGGACATATTTTGATATTTATTTATTTGTTTTTTTTTTGTTTTTGTATCTCTGTATATAGTTTCAGATTTGTTTCTAGACGTTAATTTTTTTCTTAGTTTAAACTTAGTTATAACGTAAAATAAATTAATGAGCAAGCTGTGGTCTCCTATAAGTGAAGGAGCACAAGTATTGTGAGTCTTATTTGCTTTTTGTTTTTATATGATGTTGTATATTGTGTGTATCTTTTGTTGGAGATCCTAATTAAAATAAAATAAAAATAAAAAGAAAAGGCGATATTTACATAAACAGATTTTAAAATGTTGGTCAAGAAAATGAATTAATATTTAATTTACAATATAGATCTCTATTGGAAATATTATATATAGCAAGTGTAATTTATTATATACAAGAAAGTTTCTATGAATGCCATTTTTGATATATTGGAGTCGAAAACAGTAGCTGTTAAATTCTTAGCTTATTAACTTTTGTAGATAGTTGGAACGATATCAGTAAAATTTGAATAGACGTATGACATAGAAAATCGTTTAGTATATTCCAATTGAGATATAAAAGAGTGAATAGAGAGGATACAGAGTATATTATGTGAATACAGTGAAACATTTGTTGAAGTAAAATTTCTTTAGGTTTAATTGAGGGGTAAGTCAATACATTGTAAAAATGAGTGTCGCGGAAGTAAGAATCAAATTTATTCTTAATAATAAAATAAAATATTACATTTATATTTTTATAATAATTATTATTTATAAAAATATGTATTTATTATTGTACTTCGCCCTCTTTAACGTCTCAATGCTGAGCACGGGGTCTCCCTTCAATACGAGGGGGATCAAGGCCATAGTTCACTTCGCTGGCCAAGTTTGGGTTGACGGACTTCACATGACTTTCGAAAACTTGCTAGGTTCTCTCAGATATGTAGGGTTCCTAACGATGTTGTACTTCACCGTAAGATAAGTGGTAATTACGTTAAAAATGATTCACAAATGAAAATATCAGTGGTTTCCCAAGCGAGCGCGTTACCACTGGGCTACCACTATTTATTATTAATAATTTTATAATAATTCTTACTTATAAAAATGATTATTTACTAATAATTGAATAAAAAAATATATTTATTTTGATTTATTTAATTTTATTGTTTAATCTGTCACAGCGCCAAAGAAGTTTTACTTCAACCGCACGTAAAGATTACACGCGCTCATTTTTTTGGAATGTATGTTTAAAAACTTATCTACTTTATAAAATGTCTAAAGGTTGGGCCGTGCCCGGGAATAAGAGCGGCTGACGATTTATGGATGGCGCGCCACATTTTAAGTAAATTGGCAGAAGAATATGGAACTGTAGCTTCATTCGAACCTCAACCGGTAGCTGATTGGCCAGGAAATGGGACCTTTGTGTATTTTTCTTCGAAAGACATGAGGGAAGAAGATGGAATTTTGTAAGTATTGGAAACTATTGCCCGCGGTTTCACCCGCGTGGTTTATGTATAATTTCTCCACTAAAAAGTTAGTGGTCTTACAAATAACCTCTAACCGTCCTGAATATGGGTTATTTTTTGTGAAGGACATTTTTTTCCAATTGGTCTGGTTTTTCAAACAACCGAAAAAAATAAGCATCGAAATTACAAATATACAGTAGGCATATGTGGAATTATACAGTAAATGTGGATTTCTTAATATTTTCTTACTTGAATTTAATTCTGTTGTTAAAAATATTTATATTTCCACTTACTTAATATGTAATATATATCAAAGAATAGACGTTACTAAATAATCTATATCTGGATAATTTAGAATTAATTAATCGTAACAAGGAAGCCTTCCATGTTTTGTATTTAAAGTGATTATCGTTTTCTCGCAGCTCCGTCCGTGTCTTTTAATATTAATATTGGAGAAGTACTTCGCTCTTGCAGGTCGTAGCTTGAGGTACAACCTTCCGCAATAAATGGGCTATAAAACTGTCTCGGTCTGGTCCCATTTAAAAAATATTTATAAGAGATAGAGAGAGATAAGATATATTATAAGAGATTAGCGCGTGCAAACAAACATTTTTTTCAGTTTTATATATTAGTATAGATTATAGACCAATGTGTAATCTATACATTGGTTATTAGTCATTACGCCTGCTCTATATTCTGATTATCAAGTGAATTATTTTAATTACTAACTATTAAGAGATTGAGTTAAAGTGAAGATATTTCATTAAGCATGTTTTAATTATCTCTTCTCTCATCTTTTAATAAATTTTTACTGCTGTGAATTCTGATAAACATAGATTAGGTGTATTAGACACTCGACGATTGTAGGTATATTCAAATTAAAAAAAAACATTTTTTGTTTTTGGTATTCTAGAAATACTCTTATATCTATCAAAAACTCTACCAGTAATTTTGTTTTTCAAAATGCCTTTGCCCTTAGAAGAACTGCTGAAAGTTCAGTGGGTCTATGGTTCTTTTTATATTATAATAGAAAAAATCTAGCTATTGGTGACTTATCAAAGAACATAACGCGAATCTCTTTCCCTATATGAATATACTTTTACATAATTTACAAATTGAAAATTCAATTCAATTTTCGATCCTTAACCGATTTCAATGGTAGCAATTATCTGGCACGAACCACTTTCAATTACATAACGAAGCCAGACTAACAGCGCGGTCATCAATTAAATATAAACAACAAAATCGGGAATGTTCGGAGCTTGTATTCATTCCACACATTCATGTATGATGTATATTATTATTGCTAAAGTTCACATGAAAGCTTTCCTTATCTATTCGTCTTTATTTAATGTTTTATATACTCATGAAGGGTTATTTCATTTTGGTTGGATGTTATTGTTTCTTTTTGAATAAAATGCTATTTATTTTTATTATTATATTAGTATTGATAAATATGATAAATATGTTAGAACATTAACACACACTACCATCTAGTTCCATGGTCAGCTACAAGGCTTGTATTATGGATACCAGATAGTTGATACACTACACATATTATATAACTTTAAATACATAAAATTAAAAATATAAACACCCATGACTGGAGTATAAACATTCGTGTTCATTACACAAATGAATGCTCCATGGGTCACTATAAACTGAGCCAAACGCGTCATCAAAAATAAAAATTCCGGACAAGTGCGAGTCCGACTCGCCTACCGAGGGTTTCATACAAATTTGTTGGAAATCTGTTTAACTTTAATTTTCAACTTTTTTTATTTTTTGGATTTTTTCCTTTATTTGTGCTGTAAGACCTTGCTTTTTGCCAAGTTTCATGATTCTAGGTCAACGGTAACTACCATATAGGTTTTTGACCCGAAACCTATAGGGTACTTCCGGTTGACCTAGAATTGTCAATTTTGGTTAATAGCAAGGTCTTACAACACAAGTAAAAGGAAAATTCCTAAAAATAAAAAAAATTGAAAATTAAGGTAAATTTTGGTACTTACAAGTTATCACGAAAATCTAAATTTGTCCATATCTTTTTATGGTGTTGATTCAGAACCTTCATTTTTATACACCTAATAGGGACTATAGATCTCAGTATCTGTTATCAATTTCAACTTAATAGATCCACCCATTCCTGAGAAAATCGATGGCGACACACGGATAAACAGATAGACGCACAGACGGACAAGAGAGTGATCTTATAAGAGTTCCTTTTTTACCTTTTGAGGGACAGAACCCTAAAAAGTATTATTTTTTCTTTTTCTTTGGTTTTCACGGGTTTGAAGGACCCTTGTCCTTTGGAAGGCTTGTGTGGGGTACATAGGTCCAATACGTAGAGGCGCCTTAAGAGATTCAAGTTTAAATTTCAAGTTTGTGACGCAACCCCAATGGGGAATTGCTTAAAGACCCTAATAACGTGTAGAGACTATGGAAAGTATGGAAAACTAAAAGGACCTATGAATGGAGTTTGGGTTGGATTGATTTGATTTGGATTGATTTATGAATTGGATGAATTTCGCAGACCTGCCGTCGGGGCGTCGTAGTTGAATGCGTAAGCGATCCTGCGACGCCCCATTAAGACGGGGGAAGGCTTTGTTGGGTTTTAGTGGGTAGTACTGGCTTTGCCGGTGAGTCTCACACCTCGTGCGTAAATGCATTTCCCAACGTTATAAAAAAAAGGTAATTGTAAAATTTATTCACAGAAGCTGTTCAACATTATAACACGTGTAGTATTATTATATGAGATCATTTTAGCGGTATCTGGTTACTAGTCCACTTTTTGGGCAGATGATAAGCGATAAACTGTTACATGATAATGTAGTATGCGTGTTTTCAATTAAGGATATTGATAAATATTTTAGGCACATAAAGCATTTGGGTATTTTGTTAGTTCTGGTTGATTTTGACAATTATAATTTAGAATTACATTACCTGATGTCAAAACAGCGTCTGTATAAAAGATTAAGATTTATATTAGCTTTCAATTTAATATTTACTTTTAAATTTAAATCTCAAACAAGCATTTGCACTCATAAATTATAATAGTAAGTAATTTGAGAGATTAAAAGTAAAAATTTATTCGAGTCAACTTAAGAACCTTTTAAAGTCTATTGTTATACACCCTTGAGGTTTATACCTCATTTTCATTAAGAAGAGAATTATGAAGATGGATTCATAGAATATTATGAATTAAGTAAGTAGTAGGTACTTTTTTTTTAATCGGACAAAAAACATGATAAGAGCGTTCATTAGTTAATTCGCTATTGGCACTTAAGTACAGTGCAAGCTTAACATGTTTTCACAATATAAATGCTTATCATTTATTTACTGTATGCTTCCTAAGCATTTTAACTCTATCCAGCAACTTCCTTTTTCGTGTTATATTATATAAAATAGTCTTCAATTGATAAACTCAAGTATACACGTCGCTTTGTGTTAATTTTTTAAACGACCAATACGTATTGTACCTACATTATAGTAGAGCGTTTTTTTCTTAAATTTTAAAAATAAAACTTTATATCTAAGATTTATGTACACATATAAATAAAAGACCATTTTTGGCTTTATTAAAGTAAAATGTATATTTAAGACCAATAGAATAGATATTTAAAAGCCAATAATTCTGTATTAAAAATTCTTTCGGTAAATTGGTCGCTTAGACAAATAAGTAGGTATCTACTGAGACGACGATATAATAAATAATCCAGATTATATTTACCTATATACATACATATATTTTATGTGACATCTATTAAACAGAGTAATAGAAAAAGCGATAGACAAGTTGGCACGGAGACACGGCGCTCATATCAATGAGTACGACGCTAGCAACGGCGCTGACAACGTGCGACGTCTCACCGGCAGACACGGCTTATCCCACATTCGAGATTTTACGGCGGGTAATGATTGCTTCTGTTCCTACTTTTACATATCACTAGTGTTTCGCTGCGGTATTTTCATTATAATATATACTTATATTTAATTGGTCCGCTCTTAAGTTTCACACCATCCACTATTTTTCGTCCCCAGGGGATATACTGCACAAAATTTTTAACTAAAATAATCGGTATATGTATGTGTTTAATAAGAAAGATTTTTTACTGTAGCTTTAAATTTAACGGTTTTTCATGCAAACTTCTTCACATATTTTAAGGGTTGAATTTCCGAAAATTTCGCAGGGGTTATATATTCCCCATGAAGAGTCTACCTGTCAGATTTTATATGTAGCATTTATTCTTTTTCCTAAAAGTTGACTTTAACGTATACGTATACATTAAAATAGCGCCATATTAAAATATTTACTCTGCGATCTATACTGTTACTTGTACAATAATAAAACTCAGAACCATTATACATGGCGTGTGAGACTATCTTTTTGTAGCTAATTTTCAGTATGGCTAAAATTATTTTAATGGAGGTTGCATTGGATAGATTGCATAGGCGAAAGAAGTATCGATTGATTTTCATCTTGAAAAATAAAACGGCCCCACGGAATAGAGCATAGAAGATATACAACTAAATCGATTTGAATGGACGACGTACTGGCGGGTAGAGGATTGGCTGAAAGTAAACTTCCATTTATATTTACAGCGAATCCACTATTAAATGTAAATATACACTTAATTAAATTGACCATTATATAAATGTTAATAATTAACGAATACTTTTTGCGCGCAGTTCTACAACAATAGATTTTAATAAAGAACAAGCTTTTTTATAGTCTAATCCAAACTTGAAATATTTATCCCTTTCAAATGTTTTAAATAAAACTATCTTTTCGGATTATTTCGTGGATTTATTTTGATTTTTGGTTCCCGACGTTTCGAATGCTTTACAGCAATCATGGTCACGGGAGAGACTATGTCATGTGAAAAATAGTTTTATTTAAAATGTCAAATATTCGCGTAAATCTAAGAAAGTATTATCCTTGTAAATGCTTATTATTTTGCAAATAATTTTCAATAGTTTTGGTTCTTAAGTTTTGGTAGCATTTTTGGCAATCATGGTCTCTACCATGACCTTGATTGCTATAAAGGATTCGCCGTAGAAGGAATGTCAGGAACCAAAAATCAAAATAAATGCGCGAAAAAATCGGAAAAGATAGTTCTTTTTTAATAATGTCAAATATTCGCGTAAATCTATGTAAGTATTAAGGTTACCTAATTACGAAATATCTGGAAAACAAACATAAACATGATAAAAAATGAAATGGTCGAGACTTTGGCCTTTTGTCAATTTCAGTTACGTCTATTTCAATTAAAATAAAATTATATGCTTAAACTTGATTCGTGTAAGTCAAGTCGCTAAGGACTTTTAGCTGATTTGACTTCATATATTTTTTTATTTTCTTAAGAAAAGTATAAGAGGTCTATCGCTTTTATTATCAATCAACGTGTTCAGAGTTACGCAGCTGAGTAAAGAATATTTATTGCAAATAAATATAAATGAATATGTTGGGACATGAACACACAGCACCATCTAGTTCTATGGTAAGCTACGAGGCTTGTGTTATGGATACCAGATAGATGACACACTACACATAATTAACTTTAAATGCATACATATTTTTTTAATTCTCATTTTAACAGCTGAGTCACTTGTAAATGCATACATATTATATAAATATAAACAACCATGACTGTAGTACAAACATTCGTGCTTATCATACAAATGAATGCTCCCAGCGGGACTCGAACTCGCGACCGCTGGCACCGCAATTAGGGTCACTACAAACTGAGGCAAACATGTCTATATGCACATGATACATTGTAGATATTTTACAACACTTAAAAATATTTATTAATTTAAGTTAACTAAGGAAGTCAATGTTGATGTTCGAATTATAAAATTTGTTTTTTTTTATTAACTGTAAGAATATCTGACAATCTTTGTTGAAAAGATTTTATATTTATACTTCAAAATTCAAAATATTTTATTCAGCTTTAAATTATTACAATTTTTTTACTGAACGTCATGAGTCTACCATCTACAATATATATTATCTCAATTAGTTCGAATAAAAAAATAAATTATAAACATAAAAAACCCCACTGCATAAAAAGATAACTTAAAAGAAGGGAACAAGTTAACGACGGAAAATAGTATTATGTAGACGGAGACAGAAAATGTATTGTTCTTGTTGGGAGTCTAGCAACATATTGATAAATGAAACTTGATATATTTAATATACTTTTCTTCCACATGAAACGTCCCGGATGTTTTGTTCCATGATGCTAGTTCGAGTCGATATGTGTACATTGTACATATATCCTTTTGTCTTCTCCATTCTAAAATCTATTATGGAAGACGTTTTAAAAAATTATAAAGTTTGGATGGAATTATTATAACAGAATAGTTACTGGGGTTGATTGGCGCTAATATCAGTTTTTAAGTATGTACGTATTGTAAGATTTCTTAGTTTTCTGTAATTTTTGACTATAAAGTTTATGTACTTATGATTTTTGCTTCTGTGGCTTGTGGAAATCGGCAGATATTATTGATTTACACACTTTTCAGGGTATTTAGCCCACCATACCTTAATCTGACGGTTTCAAGTGTTTCTACCGTATCAAGATGTTTTTTTAAATATTTTGATCGGCTGCCCTAGACGCGCGCCCTTATATAGAGGACTTATATTATGGTGGAGGTACACAATAGAGTGCAAAGAGTAAATCCAAAAATCCCCTCTTGGGCTCTTCTATTAGAGAAGCTTAGTAAATATTTTTTTAACCCAATAGGAAAATTATTTTCAAATCTCAGTCAAAATTTTCAATCTAAAATCTAAACTATCAAAAATTAGCAAATATTTTTTAAATATAATGTACATATATTATATTCAAATATAATAGAATAGTTTTTATTAAAATTGTTAATATAAACCACAATGCTTAGTTAAAATATATAAGTAGTAGGTATGTGTCACGAGTAAGGTAATGCTTTGCATTCATTCATGTTTAATGAAACCATTATAAAAAAAAGCACTAAAAAGTAAAAAATAACTGATTGGTAGTTTTTATTTACTATACATACCTAATCAAATATTTTCGAAGTCGGTGTGCTTTGGCTAAGTAATTAAAGCCTTACCATCAGATCAGGTCAACAATACCGAACCACTGTACTATCAACGGAAATAGAAACACTTGCAAAGTTTCAAGTCAATATGACAATTAGAAGTAGGTTAAATTAATCATTAGCTATTTTTCCACCCTTAGGGGTGGTATTTTTTTTTTGAAATTTAAATGGGACTAATCTGAAAGTATACACTTTCAAACAACACAAAAATTGTCCAAATCGGTTAATAAATGACGGAGGTCTGAGGTAACAAACATAAAAAAAATACAGTCGAATTGAGAACCTCCTCCTTTTTGAAGTCGGTTGAAAAATATAAAATATAGTATAACTATTTATTTTAATTATAATTATTATTACATTTAATCACATTGCTTCATTGGCGAGGAAGTCAAATAAATTAATTAATAGCAGCATGCCATGGCGTAATTATAGTAACGCTTAACAAAGCTTTACAAAACGTAGTAACGCTTATAACACCCCTCTTTTTGCGTCGTGGGTTAAAAATAAATAATAGTACAATGATAAAACAGTGAAATAAAGAACGGATGATAAACATTCATTGAGTTACAAACTTTTACAGTTAGCGACCCCACAGACATTTAATGGGCCCGACGGTTTGGTCGGGTTTGGTAAATTCAGAACTTTGGTTGCGTTTAGTAATATAAAAACGTCCCATCGATCATTGGTAGATTTTATTTTACAACTAGCATTGCCTGCGGCTCCGCCCGGTTCAGATGACTAAAAACCAAATTCCTAGGGTTTATATGTTAGTATACTCTTACAATGCAGTTTTGCATTTTTACTCAGAAATGAGATATTTTCCCGCGGTAAAAAGTATCCTATATGTTGACCCGGATAACCAGCTATCACATTACCAAATTTCATCAAAATCCCTCCAGTGGTTTTTCTGTGAAGCGGTAACAGACAGACAGACAGACATAAATTCTAAAAACTATAGATTCGGACTCTGTATCGATAATAATGTTTATTTCCATAAGATTTTCCAAAAAATATTTAATGTACAGATTCGGCTTAGTTACAATTTTATTATAATATGTATAGATTAATGTACATAAGCAAATTAAGTATAATGATAGATAATGTTCCTTAGGTGTGGCAAATCGAGGTTGTTCCGTTCGAATTCCGCGTCAGGTATCTGAAGACAAACGTGGATATTTAGAAGATCGTAGACCTGCCGCCAACGCTGATCCATATCGTATTATTTCTATTATCATGCGTACGTGCATTTTTGATGAGTGATGAAAGAAAAATTAGTAAGGTTTGTACTAAGTTGTTTTTTACATTAAAATATATGTTTCATTTTAAACTTTGTTTAAATTTTGTCCGTACTTATGACGTTTATATGAACAATATGTACCTACATGAAAGACATGTCATGTATTTGCATGCTTAGAACATTAGAGATTAGAGGAAGTGATAAGCTGGGGATTAGAACAACACTTTAATCAAAGTTAGAACAATGCATATTAGGCAGTATAAAACATTATTAAGCGATATAATTATAACTCTCCATTTTCATGATTATTGGTCATTTCTTATTTATTAATAATTATTATTGTTATCTATATATTTTAATTACTTTTAGTAAGTAAGCGGCTTCATGTGTGAAGCAAATCTAAATAAAAAAAAACTTTTCAAATCTAAAATCAAATCATCATCAAATGATTTCAAATCACAAAGTTGAAACACTAAATTAGCATTGTTATGTCGCGAACTGAGCTATCTCTATGCCTACATTGTCTATCCCACGTGGAAAATAATATAAACAGACGATTTTACATTTAATGAATATATCTTATGAATTCAAAATAGTACGATACTACGAGTATTATACATAATATATTTCACAAACTTTCTATAAAAGAAAAACTCTATCCTAAATATAATAAAACTAACGAAATTGTGTTAGTTTTGTTACAAAGTTTTAAAGGGTTAATTGGGATACGTATATTACAATGCATCGTTTTTGTTTTATTCTCAGTTCTTTTATTTGTCTGGCTTGCTAAAAAATTCATTCAATGGGTCAAAAGGTTAAAGAGAGCTCTAATTTGAAAGATTTGTACAGTTAGATCTCCATATAATTTTTTTATATGGGACAAAGGGGGCAAACGGGCAGGAGGCTCACCTGATGGAGAGTGATCACCGCCGCCCATGGACATCTGCAACCCCGCAGGGCTTGCAGATGCATTGCCAGCCTTTCAGGAAATCATAAATATTCAAACCCGCCACCGCTGCTTGCGATGCCTTATTGAAAATTATCCCAAAAACAATACTTTTTATTTAATATATCGGAAATATATTAATAAAAATATAATTTATAATAAATTATGTTCCATCTTTTTTTCGTAAAAGCGAAATAAGAAAACAACATGTCTGACACAACCTATTTTCAACCGACTTCAAAAAGGAGGAGGTTCTCAATCGACTGTATGTTTTTTTTTTATGTTTGTTACCTCAGAACTCCGTCATTTATTAACCGATTTGGACAATTTTTGTTTTGTTTGAAGGGTATACTTCCAGATTGGTCCCATTTATTTTTCAAAAAAAAAAATACCACCCTTAAGGGTGGAAAAACAACTAATGATGAATTTAACCTACTTCTAATTGTCATATTGACTTGAAACTTTGCAAGTATTTCTATTTCCGTTGATAGTACAATGGTTCGGTGTTGTTGACCTGATCTGATGGCAAGGCCAGAAGGTGGATAGGTGGAACTCTTCAACGGCTAATAGTAGATACTTTGAGTTTGGGCTTATTTTGTTTGTTGTTTATTTTGACAAGCCTAACACGTTAGAATCCTTACTTTGCTACTACTGTCTACACTAAAAAGGGAAGAATAAAAACTTTTTAACAAAAAAATAAAAACCGACTTCAAACAAAAGCACTAAAAAGTATAAAATAACTGATTGGTAGTTTTCATTTACTATACATACCTAATCAAATATTTTCGAAGTCGGTTTTTATTTTTTTGTTATCGAAAGACATATGAATTTAACAACCCTTATTCCTCCTCGCAATCTTCAATGCGAGAAAGGCCCATGCCAAAAAGAGTTAAATAAGAGGTCCGCTATTGGGATTTGAAAATAAATAGCATTTCCGGAATCAACGCCGTGAGAATCTTTGAAATTGACATCCGTTTGTTTATATGATTTTATTAACGGCTACCTTCCGCATGCAGTCCTTAGTCGCACCCGTCGGTAAAAAGAAGCGTATGTGTTAATCATCGATATTGCCTATCTTCTTTTCCAATTTTTAATTTGAAATGTTGAATTTACAAATTTAGTTCAAATTTTAATTTACAAATTTAGTTACAAAGTTATGTCTCGATAGAAAAACCTAGGAAACCCTTAAATAAACATATATTTTATAATTTATAAAATGATAAAAATTTCATTACATTTTATAAAACATGAAAGTTACATTTAATAGTGTAAGTTTATATAAAGCTTGTAAAATATTTTGCAGAGCGAAAGTGATTTTGTAACTAAGGCATCAACCAAAATTCCCTTCCATAATTATGTCTTCCGACGTTAAAAACGCATAGCTTTCATTAAACAAATTAGAGCGTCTCTAGAGGTTGTAGCATACGAGACGGAATAATTTCAAATGCTTCAATGTACAGGTTATGTTTTATTATATGTAAAGTATCTGGGCTACCGAGCTTCGCTCGGAGTTTTTGGCCTAAAGAACATTTTTTTTAACTAAAACCTTGAATAAATATTAAAAAAAAAAAACAAAAGTAAAAACTTTGCATGCGACCGAGATTCGAACATGGACAACTGTGATTGTTAATCTTGCACCTTGGCCACTTAACCACGATACTTTCACTAGAGCGTGCAAATTACCGACCATATTTAGCGTGGAATAATGCAAAAGAAAAGTGCATGAAAACTCGAAAACACGCGTTTTCTCAGACATAAGACTAATCTAGATCGATTTATCGCCCCCGAAACCCCCCGTATAATAAATTTCATGAAAATCGTTGGAGCCGTTTCCGAGATTCAGATTATATATATGTACAAGAATTGCTCGTTTAAATATATAGGATAGGATTAATATTATAAAGAGCAAAGACTTCTTTGTATAAACTTTGCAACTATTGGACTGATTTTATTTTTTAATAATCTTTTCACTATTGGCAAGCTATATTATCCAAGAGTAACACGTATTTTATTTCCCTATAGGGCTCAGGGTATTTTTAAGCTGAAAAGTTATTATTATTGACATCTTTTGTTAAGCACCTAGGGTCAAGTTTCAAGCTCGAGTGCGTCGAGCGTAGCGAGAGTAAGTTGTTAATAAAAAAAAATAAGGTGACATCGCTATTTTTAATCATATGTACCTACGAGTATATATAAATATTAATTCAGTAAATTGATATTTAACTATTTACATACATATATTGACCTTTCATATCTATTATCATTCTATAAGAGGCAGACTATAGAGTCATCCTTTGTCCATCCTTTGTCAATTTTTTGTATAACACTAATCGGGTATCATCGGCTCATAGCTTATGTTTTAGTTAGGCTGTGAATACTTTTAGAACTGCTGATACTGATAGTGGAAGTCTTCAAAGATAAGTAAACCGAGTTATTTGATTTGTTTGATGAGTCCTGGGGTACGTTAGACGTATAAATGAAAGTGGACTTTAATTTTAAGGCTGGTTTAATAATCGTCATCTAAAGTATGCCTCTACATAAAAAAAGGACAAAGATATTATAAATATAATATTTGAATTGATTTGTCGGCCGTCTTGTTAACTATGGTTCTAAAACGCATGTCGGCGTATACTGTCACTCGGCGTTGCTTCCGATGGCTGTGCTGCGCCAGGGCCTCGACTATGCCTATTATTGTTTATATTGGAGCTCATCATGGTCAAGTACTTGTATTTTTTGTTTGTAATTTTCGTTAGTTCATTAGAGAGACGGTCTACGTCGGTGGGTGGTGTACCATGTGAGTTGCTCCACGTACTTCTCTGAGAGTAGACCCATGGAGTAACCTCATGGGTATGGTCTGTCTCGGCAGGCCAACCGTCAGGGCATCATGGTACAATGCATTAACGATACTTCGACACCCTACTCAAATGAGAGAGGTTCCGTTGGGTTGAGTCTCACATAACCACCTATGCAAGTGGTAAGCGTAAATGCATTTGCTAAAATTAAAAAAAGGTATTATAAAAGTTACTAAAGAATTAGTGGAATAAGCAAAAGCTTTATGCTTGAACAATGAAGGTTAGATGCTATTTATAGAACAAATTTTATAATAAGGAAAACCAATAATTTTGTAGTATCATTTACGCAACAAGGAACAAGTTTTGCAGCCTGGTATACCTTTTATACGTATGATTTCGCAATTAAATTTTTACATGCTACGCCATATATCTAAATATTTCTATTGAAATATAATAACATGTATTTCTAACTTTCGTACGAAGACCCTTACCTTATTAATATCAATTTATTGTTGGTACTCTTGACCGTTGAAACGAGTACCTCGAAAGTAGAGGCTAAGTACTTACGTAATAAACATGAACATTTATTACGGGCGGTAGTCGAATACGTCATATCTTCTTTTAATTTCTTCCAAAGTTAACTTTTTTATTAGATTTGTAAATGTTTTTTATCACAAATAGTATATATTACAAACATAAACAAAGTGAGTAAAAATAGTATTACTAGTTTTTCCTACAGCGGATGTCTTCCGTACAGTATGGACAGTGTCACAATAAAACTCAGTATAATAAATATACAAACGTTTTTATTAATATAAGATAACCTAGATGAAGATGAATAATACATAGGGATGGCTAGTCAACCAGTGTTATGCGTTACCAGACCGAAAACATGTCGACCTCAACCTCAACTCACCTAACGGCACGTGTCCTTTAATCCCTGAGCCAATTTACAAGGGTCAAATAAAAATTCCAATCGACCCTCTTAAGCCACAACTATTCTTCTTAAAGTGAAGACTTCTTATGGGCTTCTTGATAAGTCTCGAATAATATATTTATGTAAAAGTTTACTTAATAAAGCTTTTTAATAACAAAACTTTACCAAAATAAATTATACGAGATACAAAAACAATATAATTGATGAAACTATTTGATGACACCCTTATTTTCAATTGTAAGACTCCAAAAGCTCATTTTTTTAAACGTACTATTTTAAACCTATTTTTTATAACTTATTAAATTATTATTTACTTAACTAGGTTGTGTTTGAAGAAAATGAGGAGAT